GACTGTATACCATCTTGCTGGCATCAAGATAATGTACCAAATTATCATCAAAGCATAATATACCACATTTTCCTCTAAAAATAAAGTATATTTGTATAGATTTAACTGTGTAAATATAGAAATCCTGACAATAAATCAAAGAGCAGTTTAAATCTGTGGGTGCCTTCAAACAATTTAGCTCACACTTTAGAACGTCGTTCAGAAAGTGAAAATAAAAATCAGAGGCTATATTGTGTACAGCATACTAAAAATATATATAATAACAATACTAAAGCTTAATTTACTTTAATAAAATCAATGCATTATATCGTTGTTTGCATTCTTTTATCACTTCTTTAGCGAAACAAACAGCTTGCAAAGTTAGTAAAGTATTGAAGAAAAGTCTTACCGTCTCGTCTCGTCTCGTCTTGCAGAGCAGTAGATGCGGATGTTCAAGAGTGATCACTTCTTGTGTATACCAGGAAATAGAGTTTACCAATCACGTCTCAACACACAGCTGCAAATAGAAACAGCAGCCAAGTGTACTTAAAATTGTTTTACAGTTTCGTAAATATCGCCTTTTATGTTTGTAGCTACTTGCAACCAGACGCCTTACAAAAATCGGCAACATTGTGTAAAACTTCAATCACTACAGGACAAGCATGAGTGAGTGTGACAGGAATCTGTTATGTGCTGCAAAGCAAACAATCTGCTGTGCGAATCACACTTTGATCTAAGATATGCTATGTCTAGTCATGATTATGAACACAATGTAGGTTTCAGGCTTATTAAAAACAGTCTCTAAGTGCTTTCTGAACATTCCAGTGCATCAGAAGATAAACCACAGCATGTGCTTCTAAACATGCTTTGTGTTCGTACTCAACTGCTGAAATATGACGGAATCGTTGCCTCAACATGTCTGTGAATTCCGCAACCTGCTTGTCGACGTCACTTATGTCTAATGTTGAACAGTGCCTGCTACAAAAAGACAATTTTATAAATGCATACTTACCTCAGCATAAGCTTAAAACAAACATATATATATATATATATATATATATATATATATATATATATATATATATATATATATATATATATATATATATATATATATATATATATATATATATATATATATATATGTATTACAATGGTAAGTTTAAAGTTGCAAATTGCCTGCTAATTAGCTTCAATATTATAAAATCTGTAGATTTGTGAGGCGTGTTCAACGTGGATTTAAAAGATTGAGCATTAAGGTTGAGTTCTTCAGTAAAACAAAGTTGTTATTTTTAGAGAACTCGCTTTGAGAGTGAAAAACATACAGGAAAAAAACAAATATTATTCCTCCTATGATACTTGTGTGTCTCATGACAAGAATAATGATAGGTTTAAAGTTAAATTATGTTATTTGATGCCATTTGTGAACATTAAGATAAAGCCAGTACATGTATGACGCCTGTATTTGAAGCTTTTAATATAACCATGCTTTAAAGGGGTAGTTCACCTCAAAAAATATATTTGCTGTTAATTTACTCATCTTTAGGCTATCCAAGACTATGGTGAGATTTTTATCTTTAGTAGGTCTAAAACTTTTAAATTTACATTAAAGTAGATTTTAATCAAAAATTGATGTAAATACATATGACTTTGAGAGTTGAAAGCAATACAGACAAAACCAAATAAAGATTAATGGCTCCAGATGACACTTTAGCTAGGTTTATTACCCTGTGATAATGCACATTTTGAAATATTGCATTAGAAATGAAAGGTTTAAAAAAAAAGAAGAAAAATCTCTTAATTTGCAAACAAAAAAAAGGTTTTCAATTGAGGTACTTTTAGACTTGTGTGAAAAAGATTTAATCCATATAATGGGAGATACAAATGCATTTGCCAAAAAAAATCCACCACATAAAACACCACCCCAAAACATACACCAACATGACTAATCATTCATTCATTCATTCATTCATTCATTCATTCATTCATTCATTCATTCATTCATTCATTTTCGTTTTGGCTTAGTCCCTTTATTAATCCGGGGAAGGGGTGGTAGTTGCCACAGCATAATGAACCACACTTTATCCAGCATATGTTTTACACAGCGGATGCCTTTCCTGCAACCCATAACTGGGAAACACCCATACACTCTCATTTACACTCATACACTAAAGACACTTTTAGCATACCCAATTCACCTATTGGCCTTATTCTACAATGCGGAAGTGCGCTCGTTTTTGTGACTGTTTTCGAACTTCTGATTCAGCTGCCTATGGGAGAAAGGAATAATACATGGCAGAAAACAGTCAAACTACTTGCTCTACAAACAAGTGTTTGCATACAGACATACGCTCATACGCGAAGAATAAGGTGAATAGCGCATGTTTTGCACTTGTGGGAGAAACCAGAGCACCCAGAGGAAACCCATGCGAACACTGGGAAATGCCAACACAAACTTAACACAGAAATGCCAACAGACCCAGCCAAGGCTCGAACCAGCGACCTTTTTGCTGTGAGGCGACAACACTACCCACTGCGCCACCATGCCATCAGATATCTCCATTTTGCTTGCCTTGTTTACTATTGGTTACTAGGTTACCAATACCACAGTCGACTGCTTGATTAGAAATGCCTCTAAGTATCCTTTAAAAGATTCACTTCACTTTAGGATGGTCAAATAAACTGTCCTATCACATAATAATGCAAATGTTGAAGATCTGTGAAAAGTATCTGACCGAGATTGTTTTTCATCATTTGGTTCAAATAACTCATATACAGTTCAAAATTTATTTTTGGTAATGAATATATTTTAGTCCCAAATCGATAACCACACAAGTCAATAGACAGATTTCTTTGTTTGCACAGGCAGATCCTGGTACTGCTGGAGTTGTGTTACAGTAGAAGAGGGATAAAGCGAGTTCAAGAATGCTGAAGTGTAGTTTAGCCCCAAGCTACAGCTTCTATCACTTTGCAAGATTTCCTCCAGAAAAAAATGTGTCACACCAGCCGGTATCAGTCTTCTTGATTCCGTGACCCTTTCCCCTTACACAAACCTTTCACAATCCTCCACATATTGGTTAAAAAAGTCCTAGCGATATTGTAGCTGCGTAATTTTACCAAATCGAACATTAAATATATTTTCTACAATTATAAAACCAAAATTTCAGTCAGGTTAAAAAGGCCTATTTAGTTTGAGTTGAGGTTTTTACTAAAGGGATTTTGGGAGTCTCTCTTGAATATTTTTTTTCTAATAAACAAATGTATAAACATTCATTAATTCATTCATTTTCCTTCATCTTAGTACCTTTATTTATCAGGGGGCACTACACCGAAATTAACCTCCAATACATCCAGCATTTGTTTTACACAGTGAATGCCCTTCCAGCCGTAGCCCAGTACTGGAAAACATCCATACACCCATAAATATCTCAATATAATGAATCCTTTTCCAGAGATGGGTTGTGACTGGAAGGGCATCCGCTGCATAAAAATGGAACAATGGATAAGTTGGCGGTTCATTCCGTTGTGGCGACTCCGGATTAATAAAGGGACTAAGCCAAAAAGAAAATGAATGAATGAATAATAAATCCTGACGTTTGGTGTATGTAAATGCAGCTGAAGTGGAGATTTATGATGAGGTGCAGGAGAAAAACTCATTGTGATAATACAACTTTAAAATATGATGAATAAAATGATCAAACGCATAAAAACCCAAGTGCTTGAAAAGACTTGTTTAGCCTGCAGTGTCCCAGAATAATATAGAATTAATCTTTTACTAGTGTCAGTTTGGCCTGGTTCATAAACTTTTATTAAGAATCATACCACCCTCTTCTGTTTAAAAATTGAATTACACTTTCCCTGTTGGATTGGCTTAATGTCTACTCTTGTGTTATTTTATCGTTGTTTATTGACACCTTTATTTATATGTGTACATAAATGCTACTAAAATTGATACGAATACCTACTATATTAAATCCTTTTTTATGCCTTAACCTATATAAAATGAGATTTAATCCACCATTAAAAAATGCTGAATCACTTCATCTAATCAAGAATGACTGCATAAGACAATGGTGTATTTTTATTTATTTTTTTATTTACTTGCTGGCCTCGATTTTCTCATCTTTCTTTCTGGAGCCTGTAGAGCTCTGACACTCATTTTCCAGATCTACATCTGCGTGACATGATCTTCCTAATGCTGCTCACCGTCTCTATGTCAGGGATTTAACTAAGTTCATTAGTGTGTGGCAGAGTTCATGCCACAATGAACGTCAGTTACTCTGTTCCAGATGAAGTGCAGATGATGCTGCTGTCTTTCCTCTTTAATGCCCATATGTTGTTTTATGTACCATATATAGACAGTATGTTATTTTATGCTAGGTGAGTTTATATCAGTAAGCTAATTGAATGGATGAATGAATGAAGAGTAGATGGATCAATTAAATAAAAAATTATAAAATATTAATAATTTTAAAAGTTAAAAATGCATTGATGAATTATATAAAATTATATAAATTACTATATGACAACTCAACTATTTGGAAGTCTAAAAAAGTTACTTATTTTAGTCTATAAATGATAGATATTGACTGATGAACAATTAATTGTATTATTTATAAGGTAATAAATATATAATAACCATTTATTCATTTTCTTTTCAGCTTAGTTCCTTTTTTAACCTGGGGTCGCCACAGTGTAATGTACCACCAACTTATCCAGCTTCTGTTTTACATTGCGGATGCCCTTCCAGCCACAACCCAACCCTGGGAAACACCCATATATATATATATATATATATATATATATATATATTTATTTATATATATATATATATGGTAATTTGGTGATTTCATTCATTCATTCATTTTCTTGTCGGCTTATTCCCTTTATTAATACGGGGTCGCCACAGCGGAATCAACCGCCAATTTATCCAGCACGTTTTTATGCAGCGGATGCCCTTCCAGCCACAACTCAACCCTGGGAAACACCCATACATACATATATATATATATGGTAATTTGGTGATTTCAGATTTCATTTTATCATACAACAGGCATCCTTCATCTTCTTATCAGTTCCATACAGTCTCAACAGTAATTACATATAACGATTTTGCATCTTCTTGGACACCTTTAATGCTTCCACATTGAACATGTTTGATGTATTTGTTAAGATCAGTGTCACTGCGATTGATACGTGATTTGATTGGCTGGGAATCACAACTGATTATTATACTTTGGGGGTTTAAGCCCCCAAAGCCACCCTGGGGGCCAACATTAGTGACCAAATGTTTGGCCATAGCAGCCATGCATATTAACCCTGTGGAGCTCCCGACAAACTGTTTTGATAGAAGCGGGAGAGTTTCACAGAGGGGTGCACATTTAATGCTGCAGTGAGTTGGGCAGCTGTGGTTTTATGTTTTTGGATACAAAATGTACCCTTACAAAACTAAAAATGTACTCTAGTAAAAGTACATGTATACTTTTTACTACTAAGAATTGTAAAATTTGGGAGAAAAACTATTTAATTACAGTAATTTGAATATTTTTAATTTGCAACTTTACCTCTGCTTTTGCCATGAATGAAACATATGTGCTGTCTAATCCATGCCAGACTCTCCTGGTGTACTGTAGAACATGAGCTGACCATTCAGAAAGATTTATCAATGAAGGCCAGTTTGTGTCTTGATGGTAATCCTTGCCCTTTGCCGGACTTCACCTGTAACAGCCTGCTGCTACGACACTGCGCCAATCTGTCAGGTTTTATTGTTGACACATTGACGCAAGCACAGGCCAGCCGGGGTGTATTTAAACCGCTGTCCTCGACTCCAAAGAGAGAGAAGCGACCTGCAACTCTAGAACTCACAAGAACAAACAGAACAGAGACAAAGAGCAAGATGAACTCAAGAAACTGCAACAGTCTCAACAACTCACAGGTACGCGCCAGAGCAGGAACAACTACACCCAGAAGCGGACCTCCAGAGTTCAAACAGGGGATGATAAGACAATTCAAAAGCAAAACACCCAAGAAAGGAGTCAAAGGGTAAGCAGGCAGCATTGAAATCTGCTTTGAAAAATTATTTAAAATGAGGTGTTAATAGTAAAAGAATATGAAAATCATTTTAGTTCCCAATGAACCTTCCAGTCAACAATTAATGTAAGAAACATGACCTAAGGAAACATTTTTGAAACTTTGTTAAATTTTAGTTACATTGTATCTACATTCCAACTATTTCTCATTAGATTATAAGAAGACTGTTAGGTTGGGGTTAGTGTAAATTGACGTACCTGTTTTTTTTAGTCAAATGTCTGTTTAGCAGCAGTATCAACAGATATTAAGCAGACAGTCTACTAAAACTCAAATGGACCGTCAAAATACAGTGTTACCAACACCAATTTGACCTTAAATTTACAGCAAACTACTGGCTGATAGTTGCATTACTTTCACAGTAAGGTACTGTATGTAAATTCACTGTAAATTACTATGAGGTACTTCATAATAACAATAATTCTGTTAATATTTCTAAATATCAAAAATGTGCCTATACTAGCATAAAAGTTAATGTGTATTAATTTCTATGTTGAATAAAATATTAATAGTGTTTGAACTCCCATAACTACCGTGCAAAATGTAAAGCCATTTACAATAATTTGCTGTAATCATGATGCCTGCCTTAACTTCAGAATAAAATTCTGAATATGTAAAATTTAACAGTTAAATCCTGTAATGTGACACTAATGCAATTTACTGTGAAAAATTACCGTAATGTTGTAAAATTTGAAAAAAATAAAATAAAATACCTCTTCAACCTTTTTTTTTTTTAACCTTTTCAAAAGATACATATTTGTACCCCAAAAGTCCACACTGGTACTTCAAAGGTGCGTATTAGTGCCCAGATGTACCTATAAGTACCTTTGAGATACTACTATGGACTCTTCGGGTATAAATATGTACCTTTTGTTAACGTACTGCCCCAGTGACAGCTAATGTATCGTAATTTCTGAGGGTGTACAGAGACCATCTAATGGATGATTCCATGTAGAACTTTTAAAGCATTGGCAAAATACTAGTTGTTTATTGGCATCAATGCTTTCATAAGGAATCTTAAACATCCAGCATAGATGCAAATAAAGACCCTTTTTTTAAGATGACAGTTGGCATTGATTCCTTGCTTCCATGAAGAACTTAAATATCCAAAGAACAATATGGGCCAATAAAGACCCTTTATTTTTAAGGGAGAGGTTGCAATCTATGGTGCCAAGACAAACTGCTTGGCATCATCTACACTCTCGAAAATAAAGGTATGAGATCTGTCACTGGACTGTCATTTGTACCTAAAGTGTTCATATTAATACCTCAAGGGTGCATATAAGTATCTATATGTATGTATCTTTTGAAAAGGTTCCACCCCAGTGACAGCTCTTGTACCTTTATTTCTGAGAGTGTAGTGTAGCTTGGTACAGATAACACATTTTGAATCTGTGTTTGCTGGCTTATGAGATTTCAGAGAATTGATTTACTGGCATCTAGTTCAAGTTGGTGTCATTTGGTGTAGTGTGAACATGCCCCTTTAGATGATTCAAATGTTCTTCACATTAAAAAAAAAAAAATGCGTGTTTGCTGGAAAGTATCTTTGGGGAGCCAAAAATGTATCTTCATTGGCATTGCTGCAAAAAACCCATTGCAATTTATAAGGAAATAAACATCCTCCATTTTTCTTCTCTCATTAGGTCTGGAGATGAGATCCCAGGAATGGATGGTCTTGGCACTGGTGAGTACAACTCATGGCACACAGTTTTTCTAGTGATCGAATTACTGCTAATCTCATTACTCTTGCGAACTGCTTTTCCTCATTGTCTGGCTCATCGGCATGCTTTATCTGCCAACGTCTTTCAAACAGACACCACCGTGGTCTGTCCGTGGGAAGCCTTTAGCCATCTGGAGCTGAATCAACTCGCCCAGTATGGGATTATTTGAGAAGCAGGAGCTGGAGATGGAGTGTGATCAGGACTTGTTTAGTGGACTATAGTTCCAACTCTATATCCCAGATGAGGGATGCTGCGAATGGACACTTGCACTACTGCCTTTATAATCTGCTGTAAATAGAGGAGCTTTATCTCTCTTTTTAGCAGGATACTGTGAGTGGGGAGGCCTTATTAGCTGTGCTATGATTGAATTTTGCTGTTAGCAAGATTAGTTTGGTGTTTTACTTAAGATATATCTTAATCTGGAATGTTTATTTGTTCAAAATAAAAAAAAATTGCTGCATAGCTTGTGTTGTTTTTTCTTAACGTTTTAAAACATGAACAAGATTTGTGATTTGACCGTCTTAGATATTCATTGCTGATATTCATTGTGCTACGAGTTTCCTCAGATGACTCCAATTGATAAGAATACCTTTTTAATAATTAGAAGTTCACAATGGTCGTTCTCCGCAATCGAATTGCTGTCTTGTAATTGGTTTTTGTAAACAGTCTCTTTTCCCATTTTTCTAAATGACTTTTTTTCCTCCACACATATTAACGGTAAAACAATCAGTATACTTAATTGCGTTATAAACATCATTATTCAGCCCAGACTCATTGGAAATATGTGCCTCATCCTACATTCTTGCATAAAGTAAAATGCATTTTTCCAGGTACTTTTTCTGCACACATTAGATGGTAAATCCACTAGAGGGTGCTGCCTACATTTTTGCAAATAGGGTGTGTTTTGTCATGTTTCAGACACACGCATCTTGGGCGCATCCTCATGAATCTGTACAGATCACCTGGTGAACCACATCCATAAACCCAAAGTATTTAAAAGCAAACATTTGGGTTTGACCAATGACTTTCATCTTGATTTCACTTCGCTTTTATCCTTTTCATGAAACCATGCTTGACCACGCTTAACCTCAAGTGCTCTGCATCACAAGCACAGCATTGTACAAAAGGAACAACAGATTTAACTGACCATAGCAAAACAGTTGTCCAAATGGAGAAAATAATAGACAATACATTACATACTGAAAAAAACATGGTTTTACACTGAAATTGATGTTGAATATGTACAGTAAAAGTCAAAATTATTAGCCCCCCTGATTTATTAGCCCCTCTGTTTATTTTTTGCCCAATTTCTGTTTAACAGAGAATAACTTCAACACATTTCTAAACATAATAGTTACTAACTCATTTCTAATAACTGATTTATTTGATCTTTGCCATGATGACAGTAAGTAATATTTGACTAGATATTTTTTCAAGACATTTCTATACAGCTTAAAGTAACATTTAAAAGACTAACTAGGTTAATTAGGTTAACTGGGCAGGTTTGGGTAATTAGGCAAGTTATTTTATAATGATGGTTTGTTCTGGAGTCTATCAAAAATATATAGCTTAAAGGGGCTAATAATTTTGACCTTAAAATGGTTCATAAAATTAAAAACTGTTTTTATTCTAGCCAAAATAAAACTAATAATTGAACAATTATAAAATAAAAAATATAAGCCTATCAGACATACTGTGAAAATTTCCTTCCTCTGTTGACATCATTTGGAAAATATATATATAAAAAAAAATTTAAAGGGAGGGGGGCTAATAATTATGACTTCAACTGTATAAGTGCAGCACTCTTTCCTCTCAGTAACAAAATAAACACATCCAAAATGCAGCAGTGAGAAAATGGGCAGACAAGATAGATTATAGCAATGGTTGTCTGCATTAACTCGATACACTGAGACCATATGAACAGTTTATAAGCTTCTATGTCCAGCAGAGAGAATTAAGAAGGGTCTCAGTATTCACATGCTACACAAAAATTCTGATATTCAGCCTCTTTAAAAAGAGTAGCTGATGGTTCACTGAATATGCAAGGCACCTAGAGAGATAAAATGGGTTGCTACAACAAGCCTCAAATGATTTCGTATTATATGCAGTCCCCAAATTATTCATACCCCTGGCAAATTCTGACTTTTTTTTCAACCAGCAAGTTTTTGGACTGAAAATGAAGCAGGCTTCTTTCAAAAGTTAATTATAAGATGATGTACAAGTGGCATCATTGTGGGAAAAAAAAATTATTTCTTACCTTTTATTAACATTATAATAAGAGTTTGCCAGGGGTATGAATAATTTTGGGCTTGACTGTATATAATACAATGCTGTGCCAAAGTTTTAGGCTAAAGTCATATTTGTTAATTAGTGATGCTATAATGACAGTGACAATTATGAAGATTCCTTACCTAAAGGACCTCAATTGTGATCAATGGTTTCATTTTTCAGCATGGTAAAGATTCGAAAGACACTGCTAATCCTGTGAAATTTGGATTAAAAAAAACAGCTGATCAAACAAATCCAATAATGTAATGGCCTCCAGAGAGTTCAGACCTGAATATTATAAAGGTAGTAAGAGATTAACTGGACAGAGAAAGAAAGTTTTGACAGTCTAAATCAGGGATGTCAAACTCAATTCCTGGAGGGCCACAGCCCTGCAAAGTTTAATTCCAACCCTGCTTCAATACACTTATTGGTAGGTTTTAAACAAGCCTGAATGACTTAATTAGTTTGATCAGGTGTGTTTAATTAAGGTTGGAACTAAACTGTGCAGGGCTGCGGCCCTCCAGGAATTGAGTTTGACATCCCTGGTCTAAATGAAAGGAAATAAGAAGAACTCTGTGAAATGTTGAAGAAGGTTTGATATTACATAGCATACAGTTTGGGCCCTGTCCACATGAACAAGAGTTTTCAAAACCAAAGGGTGAATAAAATGGCATACTTCTAAGGCTTCTATCACTACCTGTTGATGTGACATGCCCTTGAAAGAGTGTCTTTAGATTCCTGTCTTATTCCTATGTTTTGTGTTCCAGTTGGTTTCTGGAACCAAATATTCCAAGTTTTTTCAGATACATTAGAAATTCCAATTGAACCAGATCCTATATTAATTATATTTAGAGTTTCCGAAGAATTTCTGAGACTTACACAGGTTCAACAACAACAGGTTTGTTAAATACAGCTTAATCTCTGCTAAAAAATGTATCCTTTGTTTTGGAAGAAAAAAGAAGTTCCAACTCTTAAGTTGTGGCTGACAGAATCAAAGAGTACATTACATCTGGAAAAAATCTGGTATAGTCAAATAGACAAGGTTTTGTTATTTGAAAAAAATAAAAATAATAATACTAAAAAAAATTTTGTTTAAATGTCATGTGTGGGAATATAAATTGATATAATCTACTTCCAAATTAACAATAATCCATATATAAATGAAACGTTATATTTTTGGGTTTTAATTATATCACTTCATTCGAAACTGTAACAGCTCAGCTACGAGGGACATTAAACCTTTTGTTTCCTGAGTACCGGCTTTTTTTAGCCATCTCCACCTAGCCACTCCCCTCCTTCTAAAAACAGTTTATAGACTCCCTTTCTTGTGATAAAACTTGCAAACTGCATAACTGTACAGACTCCTGGACTTCTTGAAGATGCTGTATGACTGCAGATTAACCAACACGTCTCAATAAAGGAATTCTGTTTGTTTCAAGTCTTCTGGACTGGGTTCTTACTCTCCATTCATGAATTTATTTTCTGACAACAACTGTTGGTTGTTTTTTCATTTTCACTCCTTTTTTTAAATGTCTAATTGTTAAAATGTAAGTTTTATATTTGTATTTTTTAAAGCATATTTATCAGTGAATGTCTGCTAAAATTACAAATAAAAATATTTACCGAATTTTTAAAGAAAGTGTGTCTTTATGTGGAGAAACAAAGAGGCTAAAAACTCCGTTAATAAAAATATAAGCCTGAGAAAACCTCAGGACAGTTTCCCCAAAACAGTTTAAGTCATTCTCAGTGCCAACAGACTTATTTTGTTCTGAAAACTCTGTTCTTTTTCCAGTTTCGTGGCCATATTTAGAATAATGAGGCTGATTAAATCTAAAAATTTACATATGTCTAATAAATAGACATTTATACATTATTCTGCAAAAACTAATGGTACCCTGAGACATTTGCACAACATGAAATAGAGCTGACAGTTACTGAATGCTCTACAGCAGCTGAAGCCAGACAGATGTATTTTGGCACCAACTGCCCTGACAGGATCAAGGAAAGCAGATTTGAGACTTGATCTAAATGGATTAAGACACACCGATCTAAACCACCGACCACCTGTGCTGCAGATGGACACATTTGATGCTCAGCAGCAAATGATTTGTTTCCTTTTAATGGAGCATGATCAAATTAAGGGATCTTCGGATGAACACAAAAGAAGATATTTTAAAGAATGTTTGAAAGCGGTAGCCACTGTATTCCATAGTAAGAAAAAAACACTACGGAAGTCAATAGCTACTGATTTCCGTTGTGCTTAATATAAATAAAAGTAACTCAAGTTTAAAAAAAAATCCTAAAAAAAATCATGAGAATTGTTGGGGGTGAATTATTTATTTAAATACTTCTAAACCACATTTAGTATGGTTTTAATTGTGCTTTCCAAACCATATTAAAATACATTACATTGATAAACCCTTACTCAGTTCTCATTCAGCAACATTCAAAATATATTTACAGAACAGACATGCGCGGTTGCCAAATAATTAGATACACTTGTTCAAATGCTCATTAACAAATATAGTGGCTGTAAAAAAAAACTGTTTTGTAGTTTTGTATTCAAAGGTATATTGTTTGTATGCTAATTTGGTATTTTATATGTTTAAAAGGTTAATTTAGAACATGTTTGAAAAGATGTTTCGAAGTGCATTGATTACACGGTTGTTTCAGCGTGCACAAATGAAAAATCTATTTACCGTTTACGAACTGAGAGACATTTCGAAGTGCATTAATTACACGATTGTTTCAGCATGCAAAAATGGGAAATCTACTAAGCTAAAATTGTAGGATTGAGGAATCAAAATTTGTTTACGTGTGATGATTTTGGCCTTGAAATATTATCATTATTTGTTTGTGCATAAATTTGATAAATATTGGTTGTGTATTTACTGAAATAATTTACTTGATTAATATCTTTATGGAAGTTATTGTATTGTGTATTGTGCCTGGGCCTGTAAATTTAAGTTTGTTTGGTTTATGAGTTTATCTAAAATGTGTTGAACTTAAAGCTTGTTTGCTTTATTTTTGTTTTTTCTACTTTATTAATACCTTAAACATTTGATTTTGGTCTGTTTGATTAAATCATACATTTGTTTATTTTATGAAATTAATTGAGAAGTAGGGTTTTTTTTTTACACCTAACGGCCAACTCATTTTTATAGCCAAATACCAATATAAAATGCTGCCTTTGAAGGATACATTACAAGATAGAAAGCTATGTATACTAATCATGCTTCTGTCTCCTAATAAACCATCATCTGATTGATTTTTGATAGCAGTGTGAATGCATACTTCCTTGCATTTGATACTCCACAATCCACTGCATTCCATTTCTGACAGTTACGAAACTAAAGAAAAAAATATGGTATCTGGAAACTCAACCAGGGTGTCTTTTTGTGTTTGAATAAAAAATTTTCACCGACTTTCCCACATTTGAGGTAATTGCAAAAGATAGAAAGCAACTTTTCCCTTAGTTATCACCAAGGATTTGTTGTACATGATTAAATTATGTCCCAGAAGTCTGTCTTAAACCAATTTTGTAAGATGCGTTCAGACACAGCCAGCCAACAACAGCCAATTTGAATGTTATCACTCGATTGAATGGGCATTATCAGTGGTTATCAGCTGATAGATATGGGCTACTAGGGCCCCATCAACATGGTTAATCAGCTATAGATCACATACAGAAGTTAAGGAAATTTATTAAATTTGCCATCAATTGTATTTTATTAACCCAACTCTAAATCCAACCATCACAGTAATTTAAAAACAGATCTGGATCTGGAATCTTCTTTATTAATATAGCTGATTAACCATGTGGATAGATGATAACAGTCTTCTGAGCCTACCAGTAGGTGCAGAAGGCCCCAACTGGCCCATCAGCTGATAACCACTGATAATCATTCAATCAAGGGACAACATTCGAAGCGGATGCCAATAACACATGAGCAACTTCAGTCAAGATGATTCAGCTGCAGCACAAAATGAGCATCAGAATGAGGAAGACAAGAGATATAAGTGATTCTGGATGTGGTTGTTTGTCTTAGACGGGCTGATCTTAGTATTTCAGAAATAGCTGGGATTTTCACACACAATCATCTCCAGAATTTACAGAGAATGAAGAGTAAAAGAGAATGTGGAAGCAATGAATCTGCAGTCAATGTCAACCTAAATCACTGAGGAATGTTTTAAGCACCTTGCTGAAGAATGAAAACAGCCCTGAAGGAAAGGTAGGATCAGGGTGTACCTATAATGAAGTGAGAGCATATCTACATATTAATCCATCCATGCGTTCATTAAAACATTTTCTAATCACTGAATTTATATGATATTTTTTTCGCACTTTAAATAAGGTTCTATTAGTCCAGGGGTCACCAATCCTGGTCCTTGTGGGCCGGTGTCCCTGCAGGGCTTAGCTCTATCTTGCCTCAACACACCTACCTGGATGTTTCAAGTATACCTAGTAAGACCTTGATTAGCTTGTTCAGGTGTGTTTGATTAGGGTTTGAGCTAAAATCTGCAGGACACCGGCCCTCCAGGAACAAGTTCGGTGACCACTGTATTAGACAATGTAAGTTAATGTATTTATTAACATGAACTAATAATGAACAATACTCATACAGCATTAACTAATTATAGTGCTAACGCGCTATTAAAATCTAACATGAGTTAGTGCACTGTCAGTTAATGAACTAACCATAAACAACTTTATTTATTTTAATCGAATGCAAAGACAGATGTAAATACTGTATTAAACATATTGTTCATGTTGGTAAACACATGAACTAATCTAACCTTATTGTAAAGGGTTCCCACATTTTCTTTCAATTACTTCATCAAAAGTCCAAGTGATAATACTCCATCTATCTTTTGAGACATTAGACAGAGGTCAATTGTTCAAGATCCAGTGACAATGGCGACGCATTAATAACGAAAGCAAACGATTACAATAAACAGCACAGCTCGACGTGAGATTCATAACACCAGCGAGATCCTTGGTCATTAGTCACAGAATACCATTCCACACACCTTTTTAAGACAGTACAAGAATGTGTCCATGTAGGATGAATGTGTCAATAAATAACAGACGGCTTAGTCATGTTGAGCAGTTGACTTAAAGAATGCAGTTTCCGAAAATAGACTGCGAGTTGCACATTTCACCGATAAAGACATAGTAAAAATGACAGACAAAGGCATGAGATGACAGACTATTGTGGAGAATCTAATGGGCTGTCAGTCCAATTAAGCAGATTGCTTACCAGTACAGTGCTAAGTACGGTATAAACCTATACGCTATAAGTCACGGTATTAACAAATCATTAACACTACTAGCTTAATCAATTACTAATGAGCTGTTTACAAATAGTTAGTAAGGTAGAAGTTGGGTTTAGGTTTTGGGTTGGATTAGGGAAGCAGATAAAGGTCATACTTTATAACTACTAATGAACAGTTAATAGCCTAATAATAGGCATGTAATAAGCCAGTAGTGAACAGTGTGAATTGTGACCTAAACTCAAGTACTTGTGTCCCAAAACGCATACTTGCGCACTATTCTATGCCATGTTATGTAGTATATAAATAGCTTAAGTAGTGCATTCACACTGTAAATACCTGGGTGATTCACTTAGTCAAGCTAATTAAAAGAAGTGTAGATGTTGAACACTTTATGCACTCAATAGAGCATAAGAGGTAGGCTGAAATATTTTGGTAACACCTTAGATTAAGTAACAATTCAAACCATTTATTACTGCTTATGACCTGCCAATTAATAAGGTATTAAACGTTTTATTATCTAATGTTCAAAATATGGAGATGACTTTTTCTTTAGAACTACAAATAGACAAATACCTGCACTATTGGGAGCACTTTTGTACTTATGCATTTATACAGTGTAAACTGATTTCTATATGTATTTGTTAATGTGACCTGTAAGGAAATATATGACCAGTCAACTGCTCATTTAAGTTCCGTTGCGTTGTTGTATTTTTTTATGTATTTAAAAAAAAAAACATTTTATTGCATTTTTCCCTTTTTTCCTTAAGAAAGAGAATTAAAATAAAATATAAAAAATATATTAAAGGTTTATTAGTACCTAAAAAGTATGATTTATTTTATATCGCTTATCATTTCCAATACCTAAACCCAACTACTACCCTTAATAAACTGCTAATTAAAACTTTGAGATTAAAATCTTAGTTATTGGTTTTTTAATAGAGTGAACTGAATATTGAAATAGTGTGTCTGAATAACTGATTAAAACTTTCTGATGCAAGTGATTACGCCGCCTAGTGTTGGTGAATGTTGTTGTACTCAATGAAAAGTTTGGTCTTTAGTTCACTAATCTGGCAACCATTAAACATTGACTGGGAAATGGTTTGAATTTCCGTTGAGTTAAAAAAAAAACCATTAGTGTTCTATTTAGAACACTGATCTCATCCACTACATGGTTAAGCACATAAATGTATGAGTTTATAGTGTGTTGTTTGGGACGCAATACTGTTTACAGTCAGATTTAAACCCAAATTTACTCTTCTTGTTTAGATATAGTAGTGTTTACTATAAAAGATGTATCTGTGCACTTCATTATTTTGTAAAAATGATTTTGCCATCAAAATCTTTGATGAAATATCATAACCTTCCCTCCGCCCTCGAAACTACTTTTCTTTACTTCTGGTCACATGGAATACCTTTAGGGTGGGGCTATCAGGGCGTGTCTCGTTTCTGCTCTGCCTTCATGCAATCATCAATCCTCTTTCGTTTTGTTATCAACACGCATCTTTCAATGATCTAACCATTTCATGACTGTATCAAGTGGATGTACTTCATGATTAAGAGGAAAAAAAAACACAACTTCAATTTTTCCATTTTCCAATTTGGACTAAAAGTATAGCAGAATCAAATAAAAGACCATAATCATGAATATCAAATAAAGATTCAAAGTTCGCTTCACTAAAGCAAGTTTCGTGTCTGATGGGAAACAATACGTTCATCTGTGAAACACTGAACACAAAGTGTGTAAAAATGTCAGTAGAGGTGAAGAGAAGAGCCATGGTTTGGTGGATGTTTTTTGCAGCAAGTTAACCCATTCATCACCAAATCAGACAGCAAAAATCTAAAGTATGAATTTACTCACCATTTACTAAAATTAACTCAATGTAACTGAATAGTTAACAGTAGCCACTGACTTTATAGTATTTTCATTCCTGAGTATATATCGATTATAATCAGTGGTATTTTGGGTAACTATCCTCTTAAGTAACGACATTTATGTAATCAAAGCTTCAGACCATTCATATGTCCATCCAAAAATATATATTTTTGTATCTCATAATTCATTTTCTAAGACATAAATCCATCTGTATGACAGCGGACTCTTAAAAGCTGAGCATTAACAGAAACACAGGTGCCAAAAATATACCATTTTAATCTCTGCAGATTAATGCGGCACAGTGACTCAGTGGTTAACACTGTCGCTTTACAGCAAGAAGGTCGCCGGTTCAAGTCCTGGCTAGGCCAGTTGGCAAGTTTGCATGTTCTCCCCTTGTTTGCGTGGGTTTCCTTCGGGTGCTTAGGTTTCCCTCACAGTCCAAAGACATGCACTTTAAGTGAATTGGGTAAGCAACATTGAACATTGTGTATGAGTGTGTGTGAATGCGAGAGTGTATGGGTGTTTCCCAGTACTGTGTTGCGGCTGGAAAAGGCATCCGCTGCGTAAAACATATGCTGGATAAGTTGGCTGTTCATTCCACAGTGGCAGCCCCTAATAAATAAGGGACTAAGCCGAATGAATGAATGACTCTGCAGCCATCACTATCTGATAGAGCTATATTGACAAGGTTTGACAGTCATTTATTCATTCATAGCTTTATTAGTTCACAAACTTGTTTAAATTGTTATAAAATCATTTTTTAACTTCAAATCAGCAGCCATATAAAAAGCAGAGATCAGCAGAGAGAAAGACCATTGATCAATAAAAACAACAAATTGGCTTTATACAAGACTTCTTAGCAGACTAAACCGGACAATGTTTACACGCTTCATTTAAAGATGTTTCATTTGATCAGTGCTTGGCAATCGTTTAAGCATAATCATACTTCATTTTTTTAATACTGTGATTTTTTTTTCATTTTAAAGTACAGATTTTCACAGAAAACAAATGCAGCTCATGGCAAAAATTCACATTCTGTAGAGACAAACTCTACATAAAACCGCTGGCTTTTTTCCAAACTCGTACCAAAAACCTTGCAAATGCCAAGAAGCATGAGACAAATAGAATTGATGCCTTTCGTTTTAGGGCCTGATCTACCCTCAATTATTTTTGATAGCAATTAAATTGATAAATCTAGACACAAACATTTAAAAAATCCTAAACAACACTAGATAAACAAAAAAAGGAACCATTTTTGCATGTTTGTAACAATATAATATGTAGTAGTCTGTTTTAAGTGCACATAAAGGTATCACCAATAGGCTTCTTAAAGGGACAGTGCACCCTTTTTTTTTTCTTTGAATTTTTGGGGGTGAATTGTCCCTTTAATGCATGGATCTCAAACTCAATTCCTGGAGGGCCACAGCTCTGCAAGGTTTTGCTCCAACCCTAATCAAACACAGCTAATCAAAATGATCAAGTTGTTTAAAAGAGTCTCGAACACCTTGATTGTGTTTTATTAGGATTGGAGCAAAACTGCAGAGCTGCGTCACTCCAGAAATTCAGTTTGAAACCCATGCTTTGACGCTACGAATGTAGATTGCATTGTATTCCATATCAGCAAACTGCACACTGATGATGAATATTTTTAAACACCACAATTCAACACAAGTGTCGATCATTAAAATTGTGCAGGAAATGTTGTAAACACAAAAATATACCAAACAATGTGGAAAATGCAATGCATACCGACACATTTTTATGTCAATATACTTTGCAATAGGCATGAAAACTAGTGGTAACTAGCCTTGCTAGCCATGTAATAAACCAAAGACATAATGCTTTTTGGATAGGCATGAAAACAGAGGGCTCCCAAAAAGATCATCGACACTAAAATATCTGAAATGTAATAAATAAACAGTCACATAGTGCAAAACTAACATCTCATACTAGCATAATGTGCTCACTCTGCTGTATTTCTACAAGCAAAAATGAATGCATAAAGACTTAGATTGTGATAAATGTGTGTGTGTGTGTGTTTTTTAAATAATCGAGCCCTTAATACTGAATGTTGGAACACTTGTGCATGTTGCAGGTTTGTGTTTGGCATCTTTGACTCTAACCAGCCCTGAGTTCTTACGGTGTAAAGCTGGTGCTCTGAAGGCTGGTGAAGGTGAACATGAAGACTGATCATGTCTGTGCCAGCTGAAGCTCCTCCAGGCCGTCTTTACCCAGGTGGTATCGTGCAAGGTCCTTCCTGGTTACTAGACCCACAACCTTAACATCCAAAGCAGTGAGGATTAGAAATCAGTTCACTCTTCGGGTAAAAGCAAGCTTTTTGAAGTGATATAACAATTAAATACATTAAAAGGACTGATGACAAAAAATATTTGAAAAAAAAAAACTGAAACTATTTTAATATAGTTGTCAGCTTTTCTCAAAAGATCTTTTTTCGTTTTCAATAGAATTAAGAAACTCATAAATAATAATGCTTGGAACCACTTGAGAGAAAGTAAACCTAATTTTTTGGGTGAACTAACCCTCTAATTTAAAGTTAAAACAAATGGATTAAATATACACATTCATTTAATGACATTACAATTAATTTAATTGAGTTATTATAAAAAATAACAATTCAAACAGGTTTTAAATAGTTTATTTAATAATAATAACAATAAAGGTTTTAAATAAACTATGGATGGTTCGGTTCAGCATGATGGTTCAGTTTTTAAACTGTAAAAAGATGTAGAAAGCTAATAATGTAATATATGCTATTGATACTATTTTACTATAGAGATGTATAGGACTTTGAAATTTGACTATATATGTATGTATATATATACACATACATACATACATATATATATATATATATGTATATGAGCAAGTGCGATATGGCTGTATATCGGCACTGGTGGGAGGCATGCGTTGGTGCCCCCAGTGTGATATTGCATTTTTACAACAGTTTGACGGCATAATTGTGTATATAAAAACAAAATCAAACATGGAGAGTCTTAAAAACCCTTTTGTATGAGGAACTACTTTCTTCTGCCTTGGATTCAAATCATAAGCTGACAGTTAAACAGCTGAGCAAGCATCTTTTAAACTTTAGATCTGTAGTGTTTGCTTTTTGCTGGTTGTATGTGGGCGGAGTAATACACAGAGTAAAGAGGCTTTACGTGTGCTGATATTACTTAAATATATCACAGCTATCAGCCAATCAGATTCAAGAACTAGACAGAACTGTTGTATAAACATATATAATCAAAAACATATATATGACAAAAACACAAATAACAGCATATTGAGAAAGTTGCAATCTTGAAAGTACAATGTTTACATTTGTTATGTTTTTTTTATGTTGGATCTGTAATCAATCATTTTTTTTTATATGTTTTATATTTATTTCATATTTTATATATTTTTAAATGTAATAAAAGAAATAGTCCTTTACATGTGGTCAATATATATACTATTACCTGCTTGAATTTACAGAAATGATACTATATGGTGATTTATATTGTTATCAGGATATTACTTTTTTTTTATACATATCACCCAGGCCTATAAATGCACAACGACAAATGATTATATGGCATCACACAAAACACTTGATTATTTTGGCAAACTTTGCTTTTTGCATTTAAAAAGTGGAATAAATCATTTATGTGGTTAATGTAATTCATATCTGAGCGTGACGAGTGAAACAATGTGATTTTTAACATTACATTCATACACAAACACTCTTATTTGTAATTTAAAGTATAAATATTAGTTTAAAATAGTTGCAACTGATTACAAAAGACAATCGGGGACTCCTCACCCTTGTTGGAGAAGGAACTATGAATGATTCAAAATAATAGCAGAAGTTGAGGAAATGGAAAAAATGGAATTGACACATGCACTTCGATTACAAAAAAAATGTCTTTGAAATGAAATGGAGTAAATGGCAGGCTTTCTCCACTGCGAAAATATAATTACCTATAATTAAACATTTACATAATTCATCATTGAGGTTATGCATCATTGAAAGAATGTTTGGCAACCTTTTATTTTATTTTATACTAATTCTATTTGTTAATTTATTATTTTGATGAGGTTTATTTAATTATCATTAATTATTATTATTATTTATTTGTTTTGTTCTTACTGGTTATATGTTCCTAAAAAACAATAAAAACAAAGCATAAAAAAGAAAGAAGATGATTATGAAAAAGAAAAAAAAATCTACTTGTATTTTTCCTTAAATCCAGTGAATGAATTCTTTACTCATTTAATTGCTTTAGACATTAATATTTTAAAACACCTTTATAAAAATTGGCCCCCTTATAAAAACAGCATTTAACTGAACAGCAATGAAGCAGTTGTAAGAGAGACAGAGGAAACTCTAGAGAGAGAAGAGAAACTCACCCTGTTCTCATTATCAACCACCACCAGATGTCGGAGTCCTAGAGCCCGAAACAATTTAAACACACGGGGGAGGGAAGTCTCCTGAAAGCAAATATGAAAGACAACAGTTCATACTGCACATGCGTAAATCACACAGTCAAGAAAACTAAAATACACTTCCTGGTGACTCTTTCCTGAAGGTAATTAAAAAAAAAACAGAAATCCATCTTGTAATTGTCGATAAGGAACTGTTTTCAGTAGGGTGTGGTAGTGGAGTTCTGGTTATTGCTCGACACAACATACAGTAATTTCATACCTGGATAAGCTGAAAACTGGAGCTGTTCCAGTCTCAACCTCAATTTAATTTTAGTTACTAAAAATAGATAAACCTGCTCTAAATGGAATGCAACAACAAAAGCTATGATTGGTTGCTGCACATATCATTCAGCTGGTATCTCTGGGGTGGTAATGGACCTACTTTAATTGCTTAACTTTTCATATTTGTATTTTTCATGCACATTTTGTCCGTAAAACCAGTTATAGCCAACCTTGCTTTTAGATGAAGAAGAGTTTACTACACAGAAAAACAGTTTAAACTGGGTTTAATCAGTCGATAATGACATTGAGATAATCGTTCTGCAATAATGACAGCTGCTTGCTTCGCTTAATGAACTGTGGCTATAGTAAAACCTGGACTTGAATTTACATCACATAATAACATGTTTTTACTCCAAACCCATCTCAAAACTACAGTAGAGTGTTTGAAAGTGTGATATCTGTGAGAAGATTTGTAGTTGTGTGCTTATTAGTCACACCAAATCAATAAAAGTAGTTAAACCTTCTGTTTATTCAGCAACAGCTATTTGGTTGTTGCTAAAAGGGATACAGCTGCAGCCAGAATTGAAAGAGAATTATTAATATTCTCTATTAAATTACCCATTAAATTGTCTTTTATTAACATCTACCCCCATACCTAGCCTAAACATACTCCTTAAAGTAATGTTAAACAGTAACAATAATGAGAATTATTTACACAGTTTATCAAATTACCCATTGATTATATTTTATTAAAATCTACCCCCAGCTAAAGCTACCACTCACAGTAATGTAAACCAGTAATTATTGACGTTCAGTAATTGTATTGTTGTAATAATAGAAATAATTCTTGTTATCTTTTGGCCACAGCTGTATCCTTTATCCTTTAACCCCACCCTTTCCCTGGGTTTCTTCATGTGTTTTTGGACAGTTCAATTCAATTCAGTTCAAGATGTTTATTTCTATAGCGCTTTTACAATGGAGATTGTGTCAAAGCAGCTTATCATAGAAGTTTTAGTAAATTGAATATGTGTCAGTCCAGATTTCAGAGTTGAAGTTCAGTTTAGTGTGGTTTAAATTGCCAAACATTGAAGAGCAAATCCATCCATGCACAGCTATACAAGTCCCAAACAGGTTCTTGAGTTTGCGCAAAAGCCTTTGGACTAAATTTACTACAAATCACACTGTGCCTTAAGAAAATGTGCATGACAATTGCAGCTTTGCTCAATTGCATTTGTGATTTCAATTCGATTAATCGGCCAGCCCTATTTAAAGATATCTGTGTGCAGCTAAGCATCCCCATGAGTGCAATAAGCAAAGTGTATGCGCATTTTGGATCTGCCTATAGGTGCATATCACTGCCATGCCCATAAAAACAACAGCAAAAAAAAAGCACCTCCTTTTCAGATCAGCATGTCGATGGCTGCACAAATGCACTTGCATATGCATGTTTTCTGCAGGTTTCACTAAATTAAATTTAAGACTTTTTAAGACCTTTTTAGGACCATTACGACTGAAATGTTAGACTTATACAGGGCTAAATGATAATACTTTCTTTTTCGAATATCCCAGTTAGAAAAGATTTTCACTTGTCCAATCAAAAATTATAAAAATTTAGTACATTTAATACATTAAAAAATTTTGTATTCATTTCATAAATATATCTATTTACAAATCTTTTAACCCTTACCAAGGATATACCAAAACATAGCTGTCAATTACTTCAGTTTACAATAAAAATTATTTAATAATAAAAAAATAGGTCAGGTCAGTATCCTTAGCAGTAAATAAATAGAGAAGGTTTTTAGATTTAAGACATTTTAAGACTTTTAAAGACCCTACGGATACCCTGATATAAACAACGTGAAGCAAGACATGAAAATGATACCTGCACTGGACTGAAAATAGCAAAACGCTGTGTCATGCCTGGTTCCGTATTAAACAACATGTTTCATGAAAAGTGGTATCTGAAAAATCAACTTTAACTAACCTGAGGAACAGTGTATGGCGTTGGGTTCATGAACTCGGTCAGGTCCATCATACACTCCCTCTCATCCTGAGAGACGTGGATGGACTGAATAGGAGGGAAACGTGGATACGCGTCTCTGAAGTCCTTCAGCTGTAGCTTCCTTTGGCTGAAACGTGAAGATGCTCTCTCCACAAACACCTGACGTCGAGACAGAGGCCTCAATTATTAAGATTATTCTATAAAATGAGATTGAATGCCAAAAATGTTGTAAAGATTCACTGTTTCTCACCTTATGTTTGAGAAGGACAATGAGCTGAGAGCGGAGAACAAGCCCACAGAGTTTGCTTGGCTGTGAAAAGACAATGGTCGAGTTTAATCATTACTGAAATCATAAGGAATGACAGGATGTGATGTCATATTTTCATGATCATGTCACCTCGTCAATCTCAGTAACATGGGTGACCACTGGGAAGCCATTGTGATTGGTGGAAGTGTTGCTGAGGACATCTACAATGGTTCCGACCTTCTCTATTCTGTTGAAGCAGGTGACTTGAGAACTCATGACCTCTCTGTAAGAGCACAGCAATACACAAATCACATTCACTACATCAGTGTTTTTCAACCACGTTCCTGGAGGACCACCAGATCTGCACATTTTCCATGTCTCCTTATCCAAACACACCTGATTCAGATCATCAGATCATTAGCAGAGACTGAAAGAGCTGAAAGGGTGGAACAGATAAAGGAGACATCCAAAAAATGCAGTGATGGTGGTCCTCCAGGAACATGGTTGAGAAACATTCACAACATGACACACTCAACCATTGTTATTTTAGTACTAGTTATGTAAGGAATAGCTGGCATTGAGCCACTGAATTTAAATGCATCACCTCATGTGCATGTTATTACAGATGTGCACCATTATTTTCAATAACTGAATGGAGAAAACTTAATTATTTCACTTTTACAACGGTTAGCAAACATAACCAGAGGGAAAGTGAGAGACCAAAAAAAAGAGAACTATAATTTAGACAACTATTTGATTGATAAAGTCAAAGTGGCACTGATAGTTAATAAGTAAACAATTTTAATAATTAATAAAATGCCATTTTGTTTATAAATACAGTAAGTTTAATTAGATTTTATTTATTATATTTTGCAACAGTTAGCATGCTTTTTAGCCTACTGTTTAATAATTGGTGTGCGATGGCGCAGTGGTTAGCACTGTCATCTCACAGCAAGGAGGTCGCTGGTTCGAGTCTCGGCTGGGTCAGTTAGCATTTCTGTGTGGAGTTTGCATGTTCTCCCCATGTTCATATGGGTTTCCTCCGAATGCTCAGGTTTCCCCCACAGTCCAGACATGCGGTATAGGTGAATTGGGTAAGCTAATTTGTGTGTGAATAAGTGTGTATGGATGGATGCTGTGTAAAACATATGCTGGATAAGTTGGTGGCTCATTCCGCTGTGGCGACCCCTGATTAATAAAGGGACTAAGCTGAAAAGAAAATGAATGAATGAATGAATGAATAAATGAATTAGCTTGCTCAGTGTCTTTGTGTGTGTTTTGATTCGTTCCCTGTTGTTGGCTGTGAGGACTTTTCAAACACTGCCTTTTCATACACACTTTTATCAGTATGTGTTTTTATCATTCATTCATTAATTTTCTTTTTAGCTTATATTCCCATACACACTTTTTGTCACACATAACCTACTGTACAGCCAATTTCATTCATTCATTTTCATTTCAGCTTAGTCCCTTTATTAATCTGGAGTCGCCACAGCTGAATGAACTGCCAACTTATCCAGCTTATGTTTTACGCAGCGGATGCCCTTTCAGCTCCAATCCATCACTGGAAACATCCATACACACTCATACATTGCGGCCAATTTAGCTTGTTCAATTTACATATAGCGCATGTCTTTAGAAAGTGGGGGAAACCAGAAAGTGACACAAACACGGGGAAAACATGTAAACTCCACACGGAAATGCCAACTGATCCAATTTTAAATGACTGTATTTCAGTTAGCTAACTTCTAATTTAATTCCGCTTTAATTAGTTTTAATCCTTTTATGTAATATATCTTTTGGACGTCACAGTGGCTCAGGGGTTAGCACTGTTGCCTCACAGCAAGAAGAACGCTGTTTCGAGCCTCGGCTGGGTCAGTTGGCATTTCTGTGTGGACTTTGCATGTTCTCCCTGTGTTCATGTAGATTTCCTCTGAATGCTGCGGTTTCCCTCACAGTCCAAAGACATGCGCTATAGCTGAATTGGGTAAGCTAAATTTGCCGTAGTGTATGAGTGTGGATGCAAGTTTCCCAGAACAAACATATGCTGGATAAGTTGGCAGTTCATTCCACAATCCATAACAACGCTGCAGTGAGTGATTAATGTATTGCAAGAGACAATATATCATCAGCTAACTTTTGGTAGTTTATTTAATATCTGAATTGAGCTGAGCTCATTTGTTTAAAAGCTATAAAAAAAAAGCTTAAATTAAATATCATTCATAGATGTATTTTCCATATTTATCTGCATTAGGAAACACATTGTATTCTTCAGATATTAAACAATTAAAGCCAAGACTTTGACAAACATCCACAAATTAAGATTTAAACTGTCGCAATGAGATGATATTCATTTTTTTTGTTTGTTTAATTAATAAATGTTACCTACTATAAATATTACTATAAGTAGTGACTTTTTATGAACATAATTTTGTATTCATAATTAATGGCATTGTCTTGCTTTCTAAATAAAATATTCAAATAAAATAAATATTACAGGGGACTAAAATCAAGATTTATCATGAGAAAAATTCATATCAATCAACAGCAACGCCATGCTTAAAAACCTTCAGGTGACTAAATCGATTAATACATTTAACAAGTTAAACAACACATTATGACGTTAAAATTCCTTTCTCTGAGTTATTAATAAGTATTACGTTGCATGATTTCATGAATCATGTAAAACCCCAGTCAATATAGAGTCCAGTCATATGACATGGGTGTGGTTACCTGGCCGTCAGCCAATGAGACGTAGGAGGAGCCTCCCAGTGGAGGAAAGGAACACTCTGCAGCTTAATATGGATGTCATACAGGCCCTGTGAACAACAAAAACCAGTCGAACAAAAACAAACATCCATACATGACTAATGCTTTTTATCTTGATTCCCTTAAAAAAACACACACACACCAAAAACTACTGGAAATTCAAAGGGTTACAAAAACATCCATTCCAGATATTTTGTTTCTCACCTCTACAAAATAATCCCCAACAATCTTGGCAGTCATTAGCACAAGCATGATGGGAAAGCCATAGGTCACATTCCCAGTGGCTTCTACCAGAATAACTGTGAGACTGAGGGTCATTCGGACAATGCCACCTGTCAGAATAATACAAAAAAAACAGTCTTTGTTATTTGTCGACTTTGTTACTTCCTTCACGGATTTCAAAGAGCTATAATAAACCACAGGACAACATTCTTGCTGCACTTCCTTTAAAGAATATCTTATTGACATTAACATGATGCTAGAAAACTGCTGTAACTCACAACTCACCAAGTTGGGCTGCAGCCCCGATCAAAGCATATTTCCCAGGGTCTGCCCAAATCTGTGAGTTTGGAAAAACAGAATATTCCAGCTCATTTTATTTCTTTATTTAGCTTATTTAAGGTTATAAAAATATAGTAGGAATGACGCAAACAAAATGCTGTACTTACTGATTTACTGGTAGTGATGAATGACAAAAGTATCCCAAAGAGTCGACCCCAGGCTGCACCGATAAGCAGAGATGGGATGAAGACTCCTGCGGACACGGTCAAACCATACGTCCAGACCGCCAGGAGGAAATACGCCAGGGTAAAGACACCCAAAGTCATTGGGTTGTACGTTCCTAAGCAAAAAAAGGTCCCAGTAAATTTACAATGTTTTTGTTTTAGATCAAAACTAGCAAAAACACACAAACAAAAGAAAAAAGCAAACAGACAATTCAGAAACTCAACAAATAAGACACAAACAAATGCAGCAACAAAAGAACAACTAAAACAACATCCCGAAGGACACAAACAATGACTAAACAAAAACAAAAATAAAACTAAATACAAAACACTTAAACAAAGCTAAACAAAAAAACAGCACAAACAAAAATAAAATAAATTTACAAACAGAAAAACTAGTTTGCAAAACAAAATTATTAAAATACTTGAGTTAATCTAAACAGAATAACTAAACATAAAAAAGAACAAAAACGACAATAAAACGTTGTAAAAACAAACAAACAAACAAACACACAAACAATTAAAGAAAAAAATAAACAACTAAAGAAAAATCTAAACAAACAACAACAAAAATCTGACTAAGAATGAAAGAAGTGCTTGCACAAGCAATGGTCAATCACAATGGTCTGATTTGAGATGCTAAAACACTCTTGGCTCATTACTCTGAATGAGCGCTCTGTTAAAATCAAGCACTCCGACTGTAGAGGGCAGCACAAGCCCAATGGCACAAAAGGAATATCAGTAACATTACTGCAAGTCATTTTAGTTCACATTGAAAGTAAGTTTAACCCTATATAAAACATAGTGATGATGTCAGCAAATGATATAACCCCGTTTCATTAATCCGGTTAATAGAATACTATTTTGAGGCATTACCAACTGGTCCTTTTGGTTTGTCTAGACTTTTTCCTGTCTTCCCCAAATTTCTGTAAATGCACTGAAGACATTACATCCAGACCAGAACTGTATTATTATTTTAATTTATGCAAAAGTTTGTGCAATATCTGTTTGAACTGCATTTTTTGCGCAATCCAATTGCACTGTCCTTTAGTATAAATTGATGTTTATATTGTACTGCAATGAGGTATATGCACACAGAATTTTAATTTCAGTCAGCCGGGCCCAGAGCTTCTGGTGAATTGTCACCCCATACAAAATCGCTGCGTTTAACATCTGATTTATTTAAAAAAAAAAAAAAAAACGGTCTTCACTGCCTGGCAGAGATATGGTATAAAGTGGATATCAGACCACAAGACAACAAGAAGCACTGCATTAAATTATATTTTTTACAGTTCATCTAAAAAAATCTAGCTGTGCATATAGCCTTTATTTATATTAGTTGTTTATTCTTATATTTTTTTAATCCTGCTGGTCTAAGAACTACTAAACAAACATCACTGTTTTACTTACAATGACTATAAATTAGTTTATTTAGAGATCTAAAAAGGAACGGTAAAATGCACCATTGGCACACAAACAAGACAAATATAACAACTCAAAATATTAGACAAAAAAAAAACATCAACAAAAAATAAACTTTAAAATACTAGAAATTAACAACAACAAAAAAACACACACACAAAGATACCTTAAGCAAAAACAAACATATTTTTAAAATATGTTTTAGAAATATGCATATATATTTATATTTAAATAGAATTAAAATCATCTATGTTCATAAGTGCATTGTGCTAAATTATACATTTAAATGCAAGTACAGTGCTCAGCATATTTAAGTACACCCCTCATAAATCTATGTTTTAATTCATATTTTTAATAGGAAGCTATACAATATTATATTTGTGCATATACATTAGATTACTCAGTACTGAAGCCAAATCTGGAGCTTATCAAACAAAATAACCTACGATAACTGTCCAAAAACTAGTACAACCAAACTTATATGTTAAAGAAAAATATTACATACAAATTTTAAAAATAGGAAAAATCAAGAGAAGCAAAATGTTTTTGCGAAATTTTGCTTGAATTTAATTGTATTATCTTTCAATTTCTAAATATGTTTGATGATTAACATATTATTTTAATACATTTATCTGTTTAATTAATCTGTTTTGTTTAAATTAACCAAAATACACTGCCTATATTCAATCAATTATGCTGAGCACTGTATGTAGTATTTAATGGCACTAAACAACGCGGGACTAAAAAGATTTAACAGAACAACAAAACCGCAACATTTCAAGACAGAAACAACTAAACATTGAACTAAAACAACTTTAAAAACATGCAAGAAAAAGAAGAACAAAATCTTCTTGTAAAGATGATGATTTAAAAATGTGTTTTCTGTCATGATAAACAAGAGAGTATTGATCATTTATTCTACAATTAAAATGACAATTATTAAACCCCCTTTTATTTATTTTTTAAAACATTTCCCAAATGATGTTATCCATTTAACTGCCACACCAAGAAAAAAAGCAATAGAAACATTTTCGAATTGCATTTCTTAACTCCTAATGTCGCTAGTTAACACAATCAATGCTTTTTTTTATCCCACAATTTCTAAAATATTAGCCTTAACCAAACGGTTGATATATCGGTTTATGGTAAAAGTACTGGAATTAATAAATATTATAGGTGGGTATAGATTAATAATTTTTTTTATCTAGATTAATCTAAACATTTTTGAATTCTAAATCATAGACATAAGCTATACAATATTGCAGATTCTCATTTAACACAGTAATATACACATTTTCTTGTTTTTTTTTTCACATTAAAATCAAAATCAAGTGAATTAGTGCAACAAGATTTTGTTTGTTTAATTTTTTTGTAAACCAGCAATGCTTTGTAGAGTGAATCATTATTAAAAACAGCAAGGAAATTTTCACAGTATGTCTGATAATATTTTTTCTTTTGGAGAAAGTCTTATTTGTTTTATTTTGGCTATAAAACAAATAATAATATTTTATAATATAAAAAATATTTTAAGGTAAAAAATATTTGCCTCTTTAAGCTCTATAGTTTTTGGTTCGTCTACAGAACAAACCATCGTTATGCAATAACCTGCCTGGTTAACCTAATTAATCTAGTTAAGCCTTTAAATGTCACTTTAAGCTGTACTTAAGTGTCTTGAAAAACATCTAGTCAAAAATTATTTACTGTCATCATGGCAAAGATAAAATAAATCAGTTATTAGAAATGAGTTATTAAAACTATTATGTTTAAAAAAGCGTTGAAAAAATCTTCTCTCCGTTAAACAGAAAATGGGGGAAAAATAAACAGGGGTCTAATAATTTAGGGGGGTTAATAATTCTGACTTCAATAGTCTGATAGTGTTAATACACAATTATTTTGGTGTGATCTTTTCTTTTTTGTTAAGCAGAGTTCAAATATTGCATTGGAATTCAAAGAAAAAGATGTTATTTTTTATGAGAATACAGTTGACTTCAAAATTTGGTATATTGTTAATCTGTTCATCATATATGGATATTTTTTTATTCAAAAATGTAAATAGCCAGTGAAAAAAAAATAATTTTACTCACTTTAAAATAGAAATAGGTCATTACATATGTACGATAAAAGAAACAGAACGGACAGAAAGCAAAAAGAACAGTAAATTATCTTAAAGCCTTAAATATTCTCTTTGAATAATTGTCTTTTTTTTCGTTTTCTTTTAATATTGTATTTATCTATTTATTTTGATGGAAATTTAGTTATGTTATTGCCCTTGTATGTTCTGTCTTTTAAAATTGCAATAATAAAAAAAATGGACTGAACGAAATACAAGTGTTCAGTGTCTGTGTCCCAGAACTCTGGGAAAGCAATCAAAGATGGCTTTTCTCCAGAGCGTAGGAAGACTTTTGCTGCCTGTTAGCTGGCTGGCATCCAGCTTGTAACTCTAAATCAGCTTAAATCCTTGGCAGACGCATGCAAACACACACTACAAGCATGCAGACACACCGTACAACAATTTGAGAAGTGTTGCAACGGCCGTCAGGCATGATGTTTCTGAATGCACGTCTGATAAGGTGTCCAGTCCACACGCATTCCCCGAACCATCCACACCCAACCAAACACACCCACACAGAGACACACCTGGAGGGTTGTGGAAGAGGCTCCTGACGCTCCGCTCGGGTGTGTTGAAGAAAGCCGTGGCCATGGCGTTATATTCACCATCAGCGCAGAAGAGCTGCAGATTGAACAGTTTGACCAGTCACGTTTCACGTTGGTATTTCAGGAGATATTGATCTTTGCTCTAGGGCTGGGCGATATTGGAAGAAGATTCTCATGTGCGTTTTGTCAGTAAAGCCAGTTCTAGTAAACCTCCAGCACGTGCTTTCAGACAAGGGTTCCCATGGCTCATAAAGTTTTTAGAATCCCATTGAATTTTCAAAGGGCTTCACTGCAAAAAAAAGCTTTTTTTACTTACATTTTTATCTTGTGTCTAGTGCAGATATCTAAAAATTCTTAAATCAAGAAGCATTTTCTAAACAAACAAAACATATTGTCTTTTTTTTTAAGAAATAATATGCCAAAATTAAGTGTTTTTCCTTAAGACAAGCAAAATAATCTGCCGATTGGCTTAACAAAATTATCTTGTTTTCCCTTTCGACATAAGATTATTTTGCTTACCCCATTGGCTGATTATTTAGCTTGTTTTAAGTAAGAACTCACTTAATTTTATTTCTTAATACAAGAGCATATGTTTTGCTTGAATGCTTGATTTAAGAATTTTTAGATATTTGGACTAGAAACAAGATAAAAGTAAGAAAAGCTTTTCTTTTGCAGTGTATTCCAGACATTAAAAGTCAGGGGATTTTATATTTGAAGAGATCAGATGCAGAAACCTCTAAGCACCGTCTGAAATGTTCTTCTAAAATGTGCATTTTTCCCAACATCCTATGTTTGCATTGAGTTATTTCAATTTAAAGGGTTTGAAAAGAACATATTTTGCAACATAAAAGTGAAAATACTGAACCTACACATGAGATACAGAACAAAATACTAATTTTAGAAGAAATTTTCAGTCGGCATTTAGAGGCTTTTGCATCTGAACTCTTCTTTTTTTTTGTCAAAGTCATGGAATGTCAAGTATCTTCAGAAAAATTCAGACTATTAGAGCCTAAAATGCCTGATTTGGCAGCTAATTCTCTCAAAATTAACAGCAATATTTAGGACATTTCTTGCTGTCAAAATATACACAAATGTACACCTTAATTCATCATTACTCTGTAATTGATATTAAAAAAAATCACTTGGAGAAACTGTTTACCTCTTACTCCATCATATTTCATACATGGACTGAAAATAGTCAAAATAAAAAAAAAAATGTTAAAATCTTATTACCAAAATAATTGGAGATAAAAAAAGAGAAATATCAAGGGTCTACAGATGAAAAATAGCCATTACTAGCTAATTCTGGCACATTTTACAGTAATGTTGATTGACGTGCATTGCCCTTGTTAACAAAGAAAGTAAATTAATTAAAATCGCAAGCTGCTCTTAATTTTGCACCATTTGGTTCATTTTTTGTTCAATTCAGCAATCACAGAATCAGTCCAACTAATCAAGGTGCTCAAGACAACTAGAGACTCTTAAGTAGGTGTGAGTCGGAGGTGGTTGGAGTTAAACTATGCAGAGCTGTGGCCGTGCAAGAATTGAGTTTGAGACCATTGATTTATAGTAAAAATAGCACATTTTATAACGTTTTTACTCCAAATGCACTTTACAACTTCAGTAGTCTTTGAAATAAAACTAGAGATGCAAACTCACCAGGGGTATAAAAAAGGGTGACAAAATTATAATTCCCTCTTATAAAACCATAACTATAATGTATGGATACTGTATGTGTGTTTTGTCAGAAGACTATACATTCTTATGTAATGAACCTACCATTTTCTACATTTTGTTTTCTTCTGAGACAACTTTAACACATTAATATTATAATTATTGTGATAAATGATAACATGTTGGGCTTCTGAATAAACAGTGTTTAATTATGTTAAAATGCAGATGCTAATACATAAGCGCTGACCTTTGATTTGCTTGTATTCCTGCCCAATACATAAGAAACTAACAACAAAGAATATGATTTTCATAAAGTGTGTTGGTATGCATGTATGAATAAAACACAGAGCTCTAAGTCAAACGGCGGGGAACACAGTCAGATTTCATTAGCACTAGTTGTTTGGAGTCAGCTTGGGGTGTACCGGCCCAAAGTAGCTAAAGTTTTCACCCCATGTAAATCCTTCTGTAAGTTGATTCTGTAGTCGTTTGATTATTAGTCTTGCTGAATCATTTAAAGCATTTAAATCTTCTGTTTATAATGAGAGTGCCCTTTGGGCTTTGAGGCCACACAACTATGCTTCCCAGACAAGATGTGAATGACAATCGTAAATTGGCCATTTATTTTTGATTAATCACCCAGCCCTAGTATGGTCATTTCAGAGAGGTCTGAATACAAGTTAAAAATCTAAAGTATGAATATAAAGAGAACCTGTAGAGGATATTCTTCAGTGTGGTCCGGTCCCAAAGGCTGGCATTCGGTGGAGAAATAGATCATAGCAAAGGAAACCGTAGCAGTGACAGCAGCAACCAGCATCGCCTCCATCACCTGCAGGCACGGTCGGTGGATGTACCTGAGACATTATGCATGCTGTTAAAAGGCTGTCCTTGTGAAATCAAAATTTAAGATTGTTTTGCTAGCTCACATTGTTATTCTTAAGGTGAATGCTGAGCTACTGTAGTTAATGATCCAAAAAAAGGTTTGCTTCAATCAGAGTCTTATCAATTGTTTCCATGTTTGCAGTGGCAGTCATTCTCTGTTGACGTAAACTTTATGGCCTCCATAGCAATTTTCTTAATCACACTCATCTTACTGTTAGTTTGCTATGTAAGAATGATTCGCAAAAAAGAAGCCCCGCCCTCTATTCAATATTCAGTTTCAGGTGGAAGTACATCAACACACTGGAATAAACGTCTCAGCAATTTTCAATTCACGCAGACTTCAATATCTGAAAGGGCCAATGTTAATTTGGGGTCCAAACTAGGTAAATACGCAGGTTGCCGGATTGAAGACACCAATAGGAGCAAACACGCCTGACAGTCAAGCCTTAAACACTGTAGCTTATGTTTATGTTTGTAATAAATTTATTGTTTGAAAATTTAAAATAACTTTGAACCTGCAACTCATTTGAGAGGCTGCTACTGTCCTCTCAAGGTTGCATTTTTGGCCACGGCTGCATACATTTAGACAGCCTTCAAGACTGAAATGAAATATGCAGTGCTTCTACCAAGGCAACCCAGGCTGCTGAAATATAATTGGGTAAACTGTTTTGTTCTGTGTAACTTCGACCACAGTCCAAAAAAAAGAATTTCAAAAGGAGAAGTAACCACAGCACTTCAGATTATCTGCAAACATATCATTATTTTAATGCTTTAAAAGAGTCTGAAATGTACATATAGCTCCTTTTTAATAATACCAGTTTTACATGCTTTGAGTCTTTGTTGAAAACTGCAGAAGTTCCTGCTGAATAAAAGTATAAATAAAACATAAATCAGCCAATGATCCAACTGAACCAACCTTTTAAAAGGATAGCGAAGTCAATTGACTGAAAAAGTCAACGGCTTCGTTTCCAAAATTCTTTAAAATACCTTCTTTTGTGATGAACAGAACAAAACCTCAAACAGGTTTGGAAAAAGTGAGGGATGAACAAATGCTAACAAGCATGTGTCTTTATGCACTTGTAGGCTTCAATTTGTCATGAGGGTGTAACCCAGAAATGTGACACATGACAAGTGATCGATGAGTGAAAGTTATCCGAAACATCCCAACTGCTTCTGCTTAGTATTACACCAAATTAGTGACAAACATGCCAAACATTTAATATACAGCTATATACACTTGTAACATCACCAGTATAACCAATAGGCAGAAACCATGAGTAATTTATTCTCATCAGTGAGGAACTAACAATGCTTGAACTGTTAAAATCACATTTAAATAAGCGGACACTTCTCAACCACTCAAGCCACTTCTTTAACAAGAAGAGGGCGGGGCTTATCGATAAAATTTATAAAAATGATTTGTCTTCACTTTTATGGACTTAAAAGTCAAATTTGTTTTATAAATAGATCCTCTGTAAGTGTTTTTACTTCCATAAAAAGGCTAAAAAAAATAGTGGAAGCGGTGCTGTGTGGATGCAGCAAGCCCAGCTTTACATAAAACAACATTTGTGCTCTCTAAGAATGGCAAAAATAATACCCATAAATTATTATGAACAATAGCTGGTGATCATACCTTATTCTGAAAATCGTTAGCCAATAATTGAGGACATTAAATAATGCTCCAAGCATCCCTCCTGGAAAATAAAAATGAAAACATTTTAAAAGTTATTTCCATCTTATATTTATTACATTTTATGCAAGGATAAAGTGATGTTCCTCTGACCTAAAGCTCCCATGATGATGAAGAGAGGAATTTCATATAAATTATACTGCACACTCTAAAAAAGGGACAGAAAAAGCACACAGTAAAATTTCATGACTCATGAGATTTTTAATAATTTCTAGTGACATGTTTGAAAGCTTCAAGGGTAAAAAAAATGATTTTCCTTGCAGTGTAAAAAGTTTGCGTCAGCAAAATGGGAAAGAAACCTTGTCAGAGTAACTGAAAGAGATGGAGAAAGAACTTACATCACTGTCAAAGCGGCCAAAGTTAATGAGACCAGGACTGGACAGTTCTCCAGGCTTCTGATGGTAAATGCTCAGGAAAAAGTTCAGAGTGAAGGAAGAGACCATTGAAGCGAAAAACTAAATCAAAAACAAACCAAAATGGTGTTTTTTTTCCCAAATGGTGGCCCTTCTATAACTGAATGAAAAATCAAGCCAAGCTCTAAATCACTCACAATTCTCCATGTCAACAACTGGTTCCAGAAAGATGCTCCTTCCTCTAAACTGAACAAAACCCCACCTGTGCCAAAAAAAAAAAAAAAACAATCAAAGATGAATCCTTCCAGGGCAGATTAACAGTCTTGGAACTTTTATTCAGTATAACAAAATACAGATTTTCATGGACTTAAAGCTACAACTATGTATTAGGCACTTTAATATGCTTTATTGTGATTTAAAAGAGGCTAGGGCCAGAATTACTAAACAAAATTAGCGTAAGACCATTAACAGCACTGATGGAAGTGGAAAGTTCTGTAGGTGATCTACTGACGAAGCTCAAATTAAAGAACACAAACGCAGCAGATCATTTCCATAATTACCAACACAATCTACTAAGAGCAGCACAAATTAAACAAGATGAGGCTTGGTAATCGATATGTTCAGCCTTCAGAGGTCCTATTTCTGCATTCTTCCTTTTTCAATGACTGTCACAGAATAAACAGTGTCAAGAACAAATAAGGAACAAACTAATATTTGTGGCACACAACTGACCACTGCAAACCTTACTTGTTGCACTATTCATTTAAAGAAATAGTTTGACAAAAAAGGAAATTCTATCATCATTGGTAACCTTTTACTTGTTACAAACCTGTTTGATTTAATGTTTTTCTGTTGAACACACACACAAAAAAAGATATAAAAAATGGATATCTGCATCCATTAACCCTTTAACTGTTTGCTCTACCAAATGGTTGGCCACATTTTGACTGTTTTAAATAATAACTGTTAAAGTCATTTAAAGTATGACTGTTTTAAATAATGGTTTACACACAGCATTGTTGGTTTAAAAATAAATCAAACAAACAAAATCCTGGTGCACTACTACACTTGATTTGGTTTTATTGTAAAAAAAACAAGAAAACATGTTAATTGACAATTTGAATTATTTAATGGCAAATCTTAAAAAAATGAAGATAATTTAGCATTCAAAAATGTTTTGTTTTGATCATGTTTTTAAATAAATTGATCTTACACTTCATATTCTCGATTTTTCATAGTATATGTATTAAGCCTGGTACTTTTACTATAAACCGACATATCAACCATATGGAAGAGGTTGATATTTTAGAAATTGGTGTTGAAAAAAATGCATAGAGAGAGTTAACTAGCGACACTTGGTTTTCCTACTATGGAATTCAATGATTACAGGTTTCTAACATTCTTCAAAATATCTTCTAGTGTTCAACAGAAAACAAAAGAAACTCTAAAAGGTTTTGAACCACTTGAGGGAGAGTAAGCTTTACATTTTTGTGCAAACTATTCTTTTCAATCATTTTTGAAGAGTTGATAAACAGGTGAATCAAATTTTGTAAATCAACTCTAGAATATCAACACTAGACTACAAAACTGAGCTGACTTCAGTTGAATAATGGCACTATTTCCTTCTGTAGAGTTGCTAATAGCTAAATTAAGCAGGTTTCATAATTTGATAAACTTGCCAGTATTAAACTACACTCAAAAAACGATTTTTGCTGCTTGTTCAAACTTACTTAAGTTTTTTCAATTGACAGCTTATTCTTTTTATGTTCAATCTACTTAAATTAGTAAAACGATCAAATTAACTAAATCGATTTGTGTTGGGACAACATGAAGGAACTGTGTGACATTGTGTACATTTTAAAATTAAACTGAACTAACACTGATTTAGTGTGACGCAGTGGCGCAGTAGGTTGTGCTGTCACCTTACAGCAAAAAGGTCGCTGGTTTGAGCCTCGGCTGGGTCAGTTGGCATTTCTGTGTGGAGTTTGCATGTTCTGCCCGAGTTTGCATGGGGTCCCCCCACAGTTCAAAGACATGTGGTACAGGTGAATTGGGCAGGCTAAATTGTCCATAGTGTATGTATGCGTGCGAATGAGTGTCTGTGGGTTTCTAAGTGATGTGTTGCGGCTGGAAGGGCATCGCTGCGTAAAACATATGCTGAATAAGTTGACTTTTGATTCCACTGTGGCCCAGATTAATAAAGGGACAAAGCCGAAAAGAAAATGAATGAATGACTGAACACTGATTTAAATTAAGATGAATAATAAAAACGCACGCCGAGCAGCATTATAGCTGAAGTGAGTTCAGTTTAGAGTTATTGATCATTCCGCCACATTTGCATCATTATTGAAATAAACTGAATTAACAATCAGCTCAATTAAGTGGAACATAGAATATACATTATAATCTTGTTTCCTCTCTGAACAACTCTGAAACATTAACACAGCTCTGGGAAAAAAAATGAAGAGACCACTTTAGATTTATTATTGGTTCTTTGAATTAGCCATTTTTGCTATTTTTTTTGAGTAAAATGTTAGTTTGTGTGATATTTTATATAAACTGAAAACTCGTTAGGGCGACACGATGGTTCAGTGGTTAGCACTATTGCCTCATAGCAAGAGGGTCGCTGGTTCGAGTCCCGATCTGGTCAGTTGACATTTCTGTGAGGAGTTGCATGTTCTCCCTGTGCTCGCGTGGGTTTCCTCCGCATGCTCCGGTTTCCTCCAGAGTCCAAAGAAATGCGCTTTAGTTGAACCGAATTATTTAAATTGGCCGTAGTATATGTTTGTGAATCAGTGTGTATGGGTGTTTCCCAGTAATGGGTTGCAGCTTGAAGGGCATCTGCTGTAAAACATATGCTGGATAAGTTGACGGTTCATTCTGCTGTGACTAGACCTGATGAATAAAGGGACTAAGCCACAGTTAAATGAATGAATGAATCAATGAATGAGTGAATGAATGGGGTGAATGAATGGATGAATGAATGGATGAATGAATGAATGAATGGATGGATGAATGAATGAATGAATGAATGAATGAATGAATGAATGAATTCATTAATTAATGAAAACTAGTTTGTAAAACTTCAAATCATACATTTTTCAGAAATTAAATATAGGTCAATATAAAATATACCATATTTTCAGATCTTGCATAGTGTAAAACAACAAAAATGTAATACGTACAGTTGAAGTCAGAATTATTAGCCCCTTTTGAATTTTTATTACTTTTTTTATATTTCCCAAATGATGTTTAACAGAGCAAGGAAATTTTCATAGTATGTCTGATAATGTTTTTTCTTCTTTTTTAAAAACATTTTGGGGGCAAATTTATTAACCCCTTTAGTCTTTTTTTTGTTTTTGATAGTATCCAGAATTAACTATCATTATACAATAACTTGCCTAATTACCCTAACCTGCCTAGCTAACCTAATTAATCTAGTTAAGCCTTTAAATGTCACTTTAAGCTGTACTTAAGTGTGTTGAAAAATATGTAGTAAAATATTACTTACTGTCATCATGGCAAAGATAAAATAAATTAGTGATTAGAAATGAGTTATTAAAACTATTTTGTTTAGAAATGCGTTGAAAAAAAATCTCTCTGTTCAACAGAAATTGAGAGAAAAAAAAAACAGGGAGGCTAATTATTCTGACTTCAACTGTATATATATATATATATATATATATATATATATATATATATATATATATATATATATATATATATATATATATATATGTGTATGTGTCTGTGTATGTTTATGAATGGTTGAAAGGATGAATGAATAAATTAATGAATGAACTGGATGATAACTTTAAACTGGTCTTCTTATTTTTTTCCTGAGCTGCACTATTATTTTCTTATTTCCGTGAACTAGCTTTAAAACAATATGCGTTTTATAAAACAGTACATATAATATCACTTCATAATAACAACAACAGACTCATAACTTCTATCTATCTATCCTATGTAAAAACAGAGATTTTATTAAATGTTTGTCTCATCATCTCACCAACAGGAGCCCCAAAGGCAGCAGAGACTCCAGCCGCTGCTCCTGCCGACACAAAGTCTCTCTTCTCCGTGTCCCTGCGGAAATACTCGAACATCTGCAGAAACAGAGATTTACAGTCAGGCTCCATGTTCACTGAAAGATTCAAGCAGACTCTAAACTACAGTGCAAACATCTGACCTTAAAATCTTTTTTCAGTGACGTGCTCCTGCCTTGAGAAACTCCCGCAGCCACCACTGCTCCTGAGTGAATCATAGGCCCTTCCTATGAAAAGAGAGCAGATGATGTGTCCAAATGTCAGCTTAAAGTCCCATTAACTCTCTCTGGCTGATGTTATTATACCTTTCCAACAGCAAGACCTCCAGCCACTGAGCAGATCACTCCAAAGACCTTTACCACCAGAGTCTGTGGATGTCAGCAAGAAAATTATTGGAGGTCTCTTTTTTTACGATTGAAATTCACGTTATTTTGCTTTTCGATAGAGGAAAAGAACATACAGTTGAAGTCAAAATTATTAGCCCTTCTGTGAATCTTTTTCAAATATTTCCCAAATAATGTTTAACAGTGCAAGAAAATTTTCACAGTATTTCCTATAATATTTTTTTTCTGGACAAAGTCTTTTTGTTTTATTTTGGCTTGAATAAGATCAGTTTTGAATTTTTTACATTTAAAGGTCAATATTATTACCCTCACTTAAGCTATATTTTTTCAGTAGTCTATAGAAGAAACCATCGTTATACAATGAATTGTCTAATTACCCTACTTTATCTAGTTAAGCCTTTAAATTTAACTTTAAGTTGTATAGAAGTCATTCATTCATTTTCTTGTCGGCTTAGTCCCTTTTTTAATCTGGGGTCGCCACAGCGGAATGAACCGCCAACTTATCCAGCAAGTTTTTACGCAGCGGATGCCCTTCCAGCCACAACCCATCTCTAGGAAATTATATAGAAGTGTCTAGTAAAAAATTATTTACTGTCATCATGGCTAAGATAAAATAAATCAGTTATTAGAAATGAGTTAGTAAAACTATAATGCTTAAAAACATGTTGAAACAATCTTCTCTCCTTTAAACAAAAATTGGGGAAATGATATACAGAGGGGCTGATAATTCAGGAGGGCTAATAATTCTGACTAACTGTATATAAAATACATCACCATCACACATCATATATGAACCAAAAGACATCACCTTAAGCCGAACAACACGAGGAACCTTTACTCCATTCAGATAGCATTTTATTTGAGGGATTCCACTTCCTGCAGCAATGGGCTGTGAAAAAATAAATAATCATCTTCAAAGAAAAATACCACATTATTTACAAAAAAAAAACATACTTATTAGACAGTAAGGTTTTTGAAAGAGGTTTCTTTTGCCTGCCATTTATTTAGGACAAAAATTCACTAAAACTATCAATATTGCTGAACATTATTTATATAGAGAGAAAGACACAGATACACACACTAAATTCTAAATTGTTATAAATAAATCCTAAAATGTTGATTTTTTTATATACTGTTTATTGTTATTAATTATCATTTAATACTAAAATGTTAATCATTTAATATGATATTAAATATTGTTTTTGGTTTTATATCAATACTACTATGTAATTTGTTTTCATGTAAACATCACAAATGCTTTGGCAATACATGTGTAACATTTGACATGTCAATAAAGCAAGTTTGATTTGTAATTGAAGTTAAAAGAGGAAGAAAGAGCTAGAGACACTTTAAAACTTACTTTTTCCTTTGATGGAAACTCAATTATTCATTTTCAATGTGGCATGATCCTTTATTCATCCTAATAATCTGATTATGAGCTCAAAATGTTTTGTACTGTCAATGCAATTTTTTTCACTACTTTTTGACACAGAAAGTTTTAAAGAAACTAAATAAATTCATAACATTAGAAAGTCATTACTGAACGTTTTGATCAATTTAATGCACTGTAGCCGAGTAAGGTATTAGGTTTTTAATAGAAATAAATAATAATAATCAATTACTAAATCACAAACTTTGGAAGTGTGTGGTATTTATTTAAATTTCTTACATTTCAAAAAGTTGCAGCTGGCAAATATTTTAAAAACTAAATTTAAAAATATAGATTTTTTATGTACTAATGCATTATTATAATCCAAAGTTGTGCTTGTTAATATTAGTTCATGCTAACATAAACAGCTATATTTCCATTAACTGATGTTACCAAAGCTCAAACAAATACTGCAATAATGCAATGTTCATTGTTTGTTTATGTTAGTAAATGCATCAACATCAACTAATGAACCATTATTTTAAAGTGTTGCCGATTATTCTTACAGTATATTCATTTTTCTTCCATGTCAAAAGAAACCCAATAAATCCGTCAACGTGCTGGATTTTGGGATACAGCATCCAGCAGATAATAGTCAAATAAAACAGTAAGAGTGGTATGCTAGCATGCTAAGACAAACACAATCAGTTTCTGCTTTGACAACACTATAAATAAAAAGAAGAGAAGGAAAGCAGAAGCCACTCAAGGCTCAGACAGGCAGACAGAAAACACTCACCTCAAAAAAAGCAACAATGATTGCACCAACCATCACGAAAGCAGAGTTCAGCACTGCCCACAGTATGAGAGAGAGGGACAGGCCACCGAGCTCTGTGAATTTCTCAATATCTGGACATGTGATTAAAGAAACTTGCACAATTGATTAAAACTCCATACAATAAAATTTAAATAAATGTTCTTGTTTTTTCTTGCTGTGAAAAGAAAATAAATTAGCAAGTTACTTTAGTACCTTTGGTAAGAAATAAAAAAAATACAAAAAAAAATACAAATAAAATAAAATAAAAAGTAATATAAATAAATAAATAAATAAATTAATTAATTAATTAATTAATTAATTAATTAAATAAATAAAGTGGAAAATGGATCACTAAGCTTATCTAGTAAAGGCAATCTACTTTTAAACTAGTATTCAATTATTATGACTGAGCTATATTTTTTCATTATATCATGAATATGATTTATGGCTTCATAAAATTAGCTCCTGATTTTAATAACTGTAGCTGCTCTAAAGAAGAGGTAATACTAACATTTTAGTTTAGTTGAGTGCAAATTGAAACAAACTAATTGGACAGATGACATTAAATAAAACGTCAATTAGATTAAACGTTTCCGATCCGTCCGCAATCTGATTTATGGCCAAATTATTCATGTAGCCTCAATGATAACTGATTAGACAAAAGTCCATATAACAAAATGTAAACGGAATGCATGAAATTACAGTGTGAACCAGTTTTAGAACAGCAGAGTATTGGCTCAATTGAATTAAATTAAGAGCAAATGCACCTCTATGACTCCCTCATGCGAGTAAATGATTATTTCAGTGGATTGTACAGGGAAGGATACTCAGTTTGACTGCAAAGTACTTAAGTCCTGCAAGGTTCTCCACAGCAATGTCTATCAAGCATGCGATGAGACCGGTGAGTAAACCAATCAAACCGCAGATCACCCATCGTGTGATCTCCAGGCATCTAAAGCCCTGTGGTTAAGATCGAGAAGCATTAAATGTTAATCCACAAATTACTAAAGCATAACAAGAAAAACAGACCCTGTTCTGCGAGTATGCTGAATAAATTGTCTTTACATGGAAACAGCTTATCAGTGACTACAGTTCTGATAAGCCTTAACATATAGATGTCGAATCAAGTCAATACTAATTCTGACACAACAATGTTCGGCATAGTTTTGTGACTCTCAGAGCTAAAATGAAAGCTGCTGCTCCTTGAATAATTTTCTGTTGCCTTTGAACACATTGATATGTAAATTGAGCATATTTATTGCACTTTGACAAATCAAAAGATCAGAAAAAGTCCAAGCATTTATCTTCCTGTAGACTCTCTAAAAAAGAGGTTTAAATTATTAAATAGCATTTTTGGTTTTTGGAGAAACAGAAAAGCACAGCTCAGCAGTGTACAACGCGATTGTTTCACTATCTGGTTTTAACACTAGACACGGAAAGAGCTGCGCTATGAAATCCATTCATTTCAATAGCTACGTTTCCATCCACCTATTTTTATGCACATTTTGTATATGTGCATAAAAAAAAAACAGTTGATGGAAATGCCAAGATGGTGTGATTTTTTTGGTGTGACCAAAATTAACTGTTATTGTTAACATGTATAAACTGGAGAAAAAAAAAACATTTTGTCATGAAACTTTCATTTTGAACTCTGCTATATTTAGATATCATGATAAAAATACAAATGATAAGCTGTGCTATCAGTTCATTACAGTAATGTTTGGTTATTAATTCTAAAGAAAATAAAGTGATTTCAAGGATTGAGCAGATACTGTATGTGTATGCCAAGGCCTAAAACCTAATTTAGACAGTTTGCTGTTTTTATTTATTGCTTTTTTTAATGAATTTTAACAAAGGCTAAAAATTCAATTATCCAAACACAGACACCGTATTGTAATTTGATACATTTGTAATGAAATCTTTGATATGAGCAGCTCAAGATAACCATATTTTCAGTAATCATTATTTTTATATTTGATAAATAAATACATAAAACATTTATTTAAAAATAAATACAAAATATTTTTATATTACATATTAAAAATACAGTTGAAGTCTATTAAATTTTTCTAATGATGTTTTAACAGAACAAAGAAAATTTTCACAGTATGTCTTATAATATTTTTCCTTCTGCAGAAAGTCTTATTTGTTTTATTTCAGCTAGAATAAAAGCAGTTTTAAATTTTTTAAGAATAATTTAAGGTCAATATTATTAGCCCCTTTAAACTATACTTTTTAATAGTCTCTAGAACTTGCCTAAATAACCTAACCAGCCCAGTTAACCTAATTAACCAAGTAAACCCTTTAAATGTCATTTTAGACGGTATAGTGTTTCAAAATATATCTAGTCGAATATTATTTATTGTCATCATGGCAAAGATCAAATAAATCAGTTATTAAAACTATTGTGTTTAGTAATGTGTTGAAAAAAATCTTCTCTTCATTTAACATAAATTGGGGACAAAAATAAACGTGTTAATAATTCAGGGGGGCTAATAATTCTGACTTCAACTGTATATATTATTAAACTCTTCATTTTTGCTGTGAACTACTTTACTGTTCAGTAATTTCACAGTGATATTGAGCAATTCATTTATTTTATCATTTAAATTAAGCTTTAATTAATAACAACAATCATAATATTGTTATAAATAAATGTCTATAATATTGTTATATATTATATTATTATTAAAATTATCATACATCAAAACATGCATGACCAGTACATTTTAGTACACTTTTTTTTTTTTTTTTTACACTAACTTAAAAAAAAAGCACAATAAAAATGAAATGCCCATAAGTCTGCCTCAGCTTTGGGAGGGTAAGCATAAAGCATGAACCACACACTCATTCTGTAGGCCTCTGTCAACCGTTATGGCTGTAAACTCAGAACGCACTTTTCACAGATTATGATCTGCACATGATCCAAGTTAACCGTTAAGCTTGTTCCAAACACAGTTGAACATCTCAAACCTCTACATGAGTGTCTCTTTAATGAGCTTTACTGACCATTTGACTCATCCGTCTCTCCTCCTCCAGAAACAACTGATTCTCACTGTTATCATAGTCAAGACTCTGAAACACAGAAAGCACAAGGTGTGAGATTCAACACAGCTCCTCAAAGATACTTATATGTATTAAAGCACACAAGTATCATTTCCACTGTGGTTTTTAAGTTAATTTACAAAATAACCAACCATTTTTTTCCAAGGCATCCCTAACAGAGACTCAATTGAATGAAAAGAGGGTGACTGAATGTCAGGAGTAGATTCAATTACCTCATATTTCAGAGACAGCAGCTTTTCGTTGTGAGGGATTTCCTTCGGTCGACTTCTTATAATGTCCTGTGCGATTTAGGAAAAGACAAACTGAGAATGAACAGCAACATACAGTCATTCAGTGCTCACATAGTCAAAATAGCACAGCACTTTATTTAGCTACAGCATCTCTCTGCAGCATTGAGCAAACGTGACCTCAGGCCAGCAAATCGGAAACATATTCTCACAAATAATGCAGTACATTCATTGCATGCAATTTCCAATACAGTTCTTTTTCTCCAAAATGCATGCTGACGTAACTAAAGAGTCAGCCATTTTCCTGAGTCTCTTGCCAAGAATGGCCCATTTTAGAGGAGATTTAGATCAGACTTGTGTGTTAATACAATATGCAAATCATAAAAACTACAAATAGCTCAAAGCAAGTACTGAAACAGCAGCTCTAAAAAAAAAAAACTGAAGCCACCTTTTTGGCCTGGACTGGACTAAAAGCTAATATGTTGCCCATCAAGTCTTGTCGTTTGACATTTATATATTTATATTGGTGTTAAACTGTTTTTTTACCTCTTCTGGTGTGATTTCCTCCTCAAGGTCCACAGTGCTCAGCCTGCCTATATGAAATATACCTCCCCCGGATAACTATGAACCAAACACATTACACTTATCACAAGTCTAATTTACTCTACATTTAGAGTCATTTATGTTGCAGATTTATCTTGTACACAACAGTATATTGATGAATATATTGGTCTTTTTTGTAAATATTTAAATCTACAGTTAATGATTGTTTTGGTGCTGGAATGTGATCCTTAAATAGTCTTTTAAAAATGTCAACAGATGATTTGGGAACACTTTTTTTTTGATGGTCTTGTTGAGTATTAGTAGTCTGTCTGCTTAATATCTGCTGATACTGCTCCTTCAACAGACATTTAACTGCCTATAAGAACATTTGCAAGTGCATGCCAACTTACACTAAACCCAACCTAACAGTCTACTTGTAATCTAATGAGAATTAGTTGACATGTAGATGCAATGTAACTAAAATTCAACAAACGGAAATATACCAGACGAGATTTTTACTGCAACACTAAATGCCAATTTAGTAGAGAAATTCTGAAAATCATGGCAAATTTTTAGTAAAACGAATTAATTTCTTCTTTTTTGTTTTGAAGCAAACAACAAAAACAACATCAAAACATATATACTGTAATGTATGGCTACATTTATGCTTTTAAACCCTGAAAATCCATTTAATCTTTAATGTGCAACATTATCTTATGACATTGTCATTTGGTATAAAATATATTTGCTTTAAGATATTGTTATAATTTCAGTTTTGTGCTTTTTCTAAATGAAGTACTCTACCACAAAGCAAGGCACCTTAAGCCGATACAGCAATGGGTGTAATCATTTCTAAATATGCCATTGATTCAATCAGACATTCACACTGAATGTATTGTAGGTCAAAGGTTGTTTGCCGTTTCTTAGCAGAATAAGAGGGTTAACAGAAATGGGAAGTTTAAAAATCCAAATATCCAGAGTTGCAAAACATTCCTCAAGTTATCACCAGACACAAACACAGGGTTAAAACAAGGGTTTACCATCCTAATAACCGGTTTAAGAACCAGTTTTGTTTCGCTTTTCTTTTATTAATTAGAAATGGGACAATTACCAGTTTCTAGGTTTACTGCGGTTTGGAAAAGTTTTAAAACCGCTAATATTTTCTGTTATACTGTTAAAAAGGTATATGTAAGGGGTTTTTTATGTGTTGTAAAGAAATCAGTGTTTTTTAAAATATAGACAGCAGAAATCAATGACTTATTAGAATAATTTAGCATAGAGGTAAAGTTAGTTTTATATTCACACATTCGTTGATTTAGAAGTCTCTGTATTGTTTACCATGTTACTTTGAATATTCGATCGGAATTAGCATGCAAGTGTGACTTGAAAACAACAATAACACTGTTTATTTGACAGTAAACAATGTTGTACTTTGATAGTCATTGGCTGCTAATATGATTTCGCTATTTAGAGTTTGCAAATAATACTTTTATGAAATAGCATTATTAAGGGGAAAGTATGAATGTGCGAACATAAAACTAACTTTAACTTACCTCTATTAATTTAGCCTGCCATTTTAACTGTTCCAAAATATTATAAATGTATGGTATATTATAAATGTTATAAATATTATAAATGTATGGGATATGTATATATTGTGTTAAATGAGAGAAAAAGTTTTGGGTTTATTTTACCCAGACATTTTTGAGCAGTCATCACAATACCGTGACACCGTAGTATTTTTATACAAGGTTATCATACAGTCAGAAAGTTAAACCGGCCCATGCCTAACTGCATGACAGGCTAATGCAAGTGACCATCATGCTTTCTGCGTCAACACGCTAGTTTCTCATGCTTAGCAATCATGCTTTGTTTAACAAGCAGTGCAGATCTTTCATATGAGCAGAAGTCAACACATTCCAGATAAGGTTAGCTCTGTTATGTTTGTGGTATGCCTGGCCTGTCTGGTACCTGTCTGTTGAGTTTGCTATCCTCGGCTCCGTTCAGCAGCGGTGTTCTCTCTCCGCGGTCATCGCCTCGGCTCGACCAGGACACTTTCTTCGTGATGTTGGCCATATTTACTTTCGTAAATAAAGATACATCAAACCTGCTAAGCAGAGAACTACTGCGTACAGTTCTTCCCCATGACTAACAATCATAAGCAATCCCGTGACCAGAGTACGGAAAGCTTGAAAGTCCAAAACAGAAAACGGAAGTCTGGGAAATGCAGTTCACTTTGGGTTGTGTCGCGTGCGATTGTCCAGATGGGATTTTGCTCATATCTTATGTATTATATTTGCGCTGTTAAAAGCACATTTCACTGTCATTGCAGCCGTCATAACAGCAAAACAACTAATGTGTCCTAGCATGTTCTTACTATTCAACTTTTCCCGAACGTGACTAACGTTACTAACGTTACTACACTGCAAGTTGTGGGTTGCACTTCCGTTTTTGGGAACTTCCATTCATAACAAATAATTGTAAATAAAAAGTTTGTGGTAGAAATAATCAACATACATGGTGAAAGTTTGTCTTTGTGCTTTATTTTAATCCATCATGAAGAGATGCTTTGTATTTTAATGTGATGTCAGAATTAGCAAATCTGAGACTCAGTTTAATTTGTTTGTTTTTAGTTCACTAAGGTTTGTTTGTCCAGCTAATTTTCTCTGTGTAGCTATTCCCTACTGTGCATGAATTAAATGTTTAAGATGCCTATTGCTGCAGAAAGGGATATTTTGAGGTTTCGTAGTCTGCTGAAAGTTAATCTGTTAATTTTAATCAATTCCCTTGTGATGTTCAGTGGATTCAACTGTGAGGAATATAATGCGAATTCACTAAAAAAATAAAATAAAAAAATCACTGATTGTCTAGTTTAATTGAAGATACATGAATTACACATTGATGAATAGGGTGGTCAACTGTTTTGGTTAGTTTGTGTAATAAATGATTCAGTGATTTAAATTTATGTATTTATTATTCAGGCCGTATCCTGAGCAGATGCTGTGGTGGTCATGGAGGAGTGGAGAGCATGAGGCTGATTGCTGTAACACTCCAGGGACAGACGAGTCTTCGCTGAGGTCCACCAGCATTCTCCAGCCTCCGGTGCCTAGACTGCAGCTCTGCACAAGACGTTTGGCCAGTGGAGAAATGGTCGTGCCCAACTGAGCCTGGTTTCTCTTTAGGTTTTTTAATTCTTCACTTTCACCAATTGGTGAAGTTTTTTCCTCGCCGCTGTCACCACTAGCATGGTTCGAGATCTGTAGAGCTGCGCATCGATGAATTTGGACTCTCAGTAGTGATTATTAACCACACTGAACTGAGCTAAACCGAACTGAACTTAAACACTGATAACTGAATTACACTATTTTTAATTTACTATGATCTTCTATGTGAAGCTGCTTTGACACAATCTACATTTACAATTACTGTAATTCTCTGTTTGCTGGCTGCCCAGCATCCACTATTATTAAACTTCAGCTAGTACAAAATGCAGCTGCCAGAGTTCTTACCAGGCCAAAAAAAAAAAAATGATCATATCACCCCAATTTTATCCTCCTTACACTGGCTGCCTGTTAAGTTCCGTATTGATTATAAAAGATTTCTTCTTACCCATAAAGCTTTAAATAATCTAGCTCCAGTTTATCTAACAAACCTTCTGTCTCGCTACAATCCAACCCGCTCTTTTAAGATCTTAAAACTCAGGGCTTCTAGTAGTACCAAGAATAGCAAAGTCGAGTAAAGGAGGTCGAGCCTTTTCTTTATGGCTCCTAAACTCTATAGCCTTCCAGATAATGTCTGAGGCTCAGACACACACTCAGTTAAAAAGTAGATTAATGACCTATCTTTTTAGTAAAGCATACACACAATGCATTGCATAACGATACATTGGATGAGTGTGCCCCACGCAGGTGGAAACTGAACTAAGAAGTAATAATAAAGTCCAGATTTCAGTGTTAAGCACCTATAGTATATCAATAAACTTGAACTGAATTTAATTGAATATTGTATATCGATCCTATAAAATGTACAGTATTTTTCACAAAGCAACTTTAAAATATACTGTAGAACTGTACAACATTAAAATTCTACAGGGACACAGCAAACCTTGCACATCATCTGAACAAAAATTGTGTAGCTAAACCATGACAATGCTAAATGAAAGTAGACTGTACATTTACATTAACTGTTCTGTTTATTTAAATCAAACGTTATAACTGAAATCAGTTAAAAGTTAAACAAGTTAAAAGTTAAGACCAAATATGTAAATGATGATTGATTAATGACTATATAAACATTGTTTTATCAAAATAAATGTAACTACAAAAACAATGCGTAATTCAAAGGTGCTTTCTGACAGATTATGTTGTGCATTTACACGCAGTGTTCCAGACACTCACAGGTGATGTGCTGAACAGAACCAGACATCTGATCTACATCATCCAGGCTGAGCACTGCTCCTTGTGGGACTCCTTTTCCATCAGCCAGTCCAGACACCTCAACAGGGCTCAGAGTCCTAGTCCACAATGCAAAACCAGCCAATCTGCCCACAAATGCTTCTGCTACATCGAAATCCCCACCAAGTGAATCCTGCTCCTGCCCCAGAACCACAAAGCCTCCAGGAGGGATCTCATAGCCCTTTTGGAACTTGGATCCATTAGATATAAGATGACGGTCCAAATAATACCAAAACCTGCCTTCGATAGAAGACCAGATGATGCATAAATGGTGCCACTCGCCATCCAGGATATTTTGTGAAGGTAATTCACGATAAGTTGGATCTCCAATCACAAAATCCATAAGGCCCAGTTTTCCAGAATTATGACCATAGAGAACAAGCATATTGTCGTTGTTTTCCGTGGCGTAAGAAAAAATTGTTCCAACATACTTGGCGTCTACTTTGAGCCAAGTGCAAATAGAGAGCTCATGTATTCCAGTTTGGAATGTCTTCTGGAAGATGGCATAATTTTCAGTGGAGGTAGATGGAAACAGAAGCATTGAACCCACATTGCAAACTTTGAAATGAGAAAAAAAAAGAATGAGAAAAAAAATAAGAACGTATTCAACATTTTACATTTGGCCAAAAATAAAAATAAATCAATCTGACCTTTGTCTTTAAAAGTGTCAAATAGTTTTTTTCTCAGACTTTAATTAATTTTCTAAATAAAGTTAATTAATTGAATTTTACGTTTATACACTGTAAAACCCAACAGTCGACTTTATGAAACGAATTGAGTGTAGTTAACTCAAAATGTACTGAAAGTTAATTCTACTTATTTAAAAAAAGTTTTGAACTCAGTGTTGAAGGTAATGATTTACTCATTACTTCAAAACAAATAAATTAAGTTCACAGTACTCATTAGGATTAGTTTTTGAACTTAAACGGTTTGCTGCAATCGGTTTCCTCAAATTGTTTAAGTTACCTTAACTTTTTGTGTTTTACAGTTTATGTATGCAATGTAAAAAAAAATATAAGATTAATATGTCATGATTAGACATTGGACGATAACCGTGTTCCCGGTATACTGCGGTTTGGAAAAGGTTTAAAATCATCAAAGATTTCTGCTGTACTGTTCCTAAGGTACGAGTCAAATTTTTTATTTAAATTTGTATTTTTTTAAGACATTGGTATCTCCAGCAGAAAAGATCTCCAAAGTTGCCGTTTTAAGTTGTAAAAAAAAATCTGTGTTTTTGAAACTGATGAAGACAGCAGAAGTCCATAATTCATTTAAATTATTTAGCCATAAACATGTTTACTGCTCCAAAATATTTTAAATGTTTCTCAAATTAAAATATATTGTGTACAAAGGACAACATTTTTGTTTTTATCCAGACATTTAAAAAGAACATATTTGATAGCAGTTTTGTCCATACCGTAATATTTATATCCAAGGTTATCATACAGTCAGAATTTTATTCTGGCCCATGCCTAGTCATGACCACATTTATTTTTATGCCACTTATAAAAGTGGTTAAATTAAAAACATGTTGCGTTTTTCAAGTTATACAAAACTCAAGTTTTTTCAAATTAATAAAAAAGTATCTTTATTTTTGTTTTTTTTAATGAAAAGACAGTATATTGACAGGAAGTGGTAGAGAGGGGGACAGATAGGGAAAGGTCCATGGTTGTGTTCTACTCTACTTTTAAACATGTACTCGCAAACTTCCCTTCCCTAGTTCCCTTTGGAAAATCCCCACTCCCAATTATAAAGGGTGTTCCACTTCATCAAGTGAATGAGGGAAGCTTACATGGACATAAATATAAATTTAGCGAGTTGCTTCATATGCCCACTCCAGCACCTATATGTCTTAGAATTCCATGCGATTGTGACACTACAACCATGTAGCTCTCAAGTGCTCAAGAGTTTAGTGCACAGGAGTCAAACTCAGTCCTTGGAGGGCCGCAGCTCTGCACAGTTTAGTTCCACAGTTTAGTTCCACAACTGATCAAACTAATGAAATCGTTCAGGCTTGCTTAAAACCTACAAGTAAGTGTGCAGAGCTGTAGCCCTCCAGGAACTTAGGTTGACCCCTATGGTTCAGGGCATTCAATTAAACCCATGCAGACATCCAGTAATGGATACTTGTGTAACGTAATATGAACGTAAATACTTGTATAAAGTAATCTTAATGTAAATAATTGAGTAACGTAATCCAATGGAACGGGATGAAGGAAGTTGAGTGATATGTCATTGAACTGACCACTAGGCTTTTGGCGCTACTCAACTTGATTTTAAAGTCAGTAGTAGACACTTGTGTAACGTAATCAATGACGTACATCCGAGGGAATGAGACGGAGGGAAGTTAGCAGGTGTGAAAAGTTGAACTCGAATGCAATCCAAGAGTCAGGACTTGAACTCGGGATGCCCACAGTGCAGTTAAGCTATACTGTATGTCGGTGCACTGACCACTAGGTTATCGGCACACTCAACTTGATTTTAAAAGTCATTTGAAAGAAATTTAAGTTGAAATTACTTCTAAAGTTAATATGGCTCAACTTAATCATATAAGACAGCAACTAATATTTTTAAAGTTCGTGTTTGCCAGTTGCTTTTATCCCAAGTAACGTAAGGGCTGATCACACCGAACGTGCTTTTACGTTCCAAAATTGTGAATTGGACCCCACTGCCTTTTTGTTGACAAGAAAAAAATGAGTGCTCTGCACTTTTTATGTCACTAGGCAACAACTGAATCAGCTGTGTATTGTGCGCAAGTGTTGCTGTTGATAAAGGTATAATTTTTACATTTAATAATATTGTGATAGTCAAGATTTGTGAAGTCATACAGCACCTGAAAGCTCAATACAGCAACCACTAGTCTCTCCTCCATCTTCTAAAGTCTCTGTAAACACCTAGACAACCAAACACTGCTGTCGCCTCAATGAAAACTCCGCCTTTGCTTTTCATTTGATTGGACAATGAAAAAGAAGCAACTGAGGTGACATGCTTTTTCCGATCAAAGTTGACTTTTTCAACTAAGAGCAAAGAGCGCAACGACAAAAACACGAGGTGCAGCAGGTGGTTAAAACGAAAGGCACACAGGGCGCATAAGCAGAGTGCAAAACCCTTGCGGCCGTTAGAAAATCATTCAAAAGATGTGCCTCTCAAAGGTTATAGTTTAGTTTAGACATATTTTAATATATAATCTTTTTTTAAATGATTGTTGTATAAATGGCAAGATTCTAGTATTAAAATAGTAGACAGTTAAACTGTTGTTAAGTTTTTAAACTGACATACTTTTGTATGTGGATAAATTTACAATTTCATTTCAATTTAACTTTTAGGCACAAAACCACTGGAGTTTAATAAATACTTACTTTTGGCTTCTTCCTTTGGACTTTGAACATGTGGGATTTTGTGTCGAAGTGGAAGTTGAAAAAGTTCCTCGTGAGCCTGAACTGTTGGTTGTGTGGTGCTCTGCCATTGTCTTTCCCTTATTGTGGTCTGTGGTTGTTTCGTTGACCTCAACAACAACCTCTCTCTTATTCTGTGCTCTCTGGACTTTGGTTGAGTCTGAACATGCCTCATGAGCACTCCATGTTGCTTCCTAATAGAATTAAAAGGATCTTCAGCCTTGGAAGTTGAAATGATCTTTAACAGTTCTTGAATCTGACTTTCCAACTTCATTATCCGTGTCTGGTGTTTTTTGAGAGACGTCTGAAGATCCTGCATCCCATCCTGAACCTGATCTTTTAAGGACTCCAATGAGTCGATTTGGCTTTGCTGTTTCTGGATCTTATGGGACAGATCAGTCAACGCTGCTCTCTGCTTGTGTATTTCTCTGAGGTTGTGATGGTTGTTCTGCCACAGTGCTCTCGTCATGTTGGACAGACTGGAGTGAAGCCTGTTGGTCTTTTTCTGTAGACTCTTCGTCCAAGATTTGAGGGAATTCAGACTGTGTTCTGTCATTTCTCTAAATGAACGGAGCTCCCTGGAGATCCTCTCAAACTGCTGACTCAAAAATTTAAAATCTACGTTGTTTGTAACGTTGTGGTTTTTGCCAATTCTCTGAAGATGAGTCGAGGTCATCTGTTGAAATCTCTTGAACTAGGATTGAAGGAGTCAAATGTTATAAATAAACGCAACGTGATTTGCCCAAGATCCTAAACAAATGCACCTTTACACAATATTGATGAACATATAAAACAATAATTCGCATTCATTATTAAATTAACATGTATATTTACTTACTTAGTAGACATTTTAACTCCATTGAAACTTACAAATCAAATCTAAAAAAAGAGTAATACTGTTTTTTTTTTCTTTTTCTTTTTTTTGAATGACTATGATTCAGCTGCTCAGGTCATTTTAGATAATTATTCCACCAAAATTCCAACCTAAAGTAAATATTGTGAGTGTTTTGGGTGGCACCACATTTACTTGCAGAATACAGACTTATGAATAAGACTTGAATCACATGATTTAATACCTCAAAACACTTTTACTAGTACTTCATTTCTAAATTAATACATTCTAAGGCTTTTCTAACATAGTAAACAAAGTAGAATTGTAATGATACTAAACCAGTTAAACAAAAAGAGCTCAAAATCATGCAAAAACAAGGTAAAGGACATTGTTTGACACTTTTTCTATCAGTGGTTGGTCAGATAAAGTTTATTGATTGTATGTTATTTTAGTGATGATTTTTGCTATTAATTTACTTACTGAAATACTGACTAAAAAATTGGAGTGTTTATGTGTGATTAATTAGGCTTTATGGGGTTTACAGACTTTAAAAAAATAAATAAACCCCCAGTAAAGGGTTAAGGTGATTTGTTTTTCTTCAGCTGAACATTAAATATGGTTTTAATCTGAAAATGCAGAATTTAGTGCTACTCTGATTTCTAAAATGTCAAAAACTACACCGTTTACCAGCTTCTATGGAAATTGATCACATTTTTAGAGCCACTCACTGAACATTTCACATTCAGACTAAAGAGAAACATGTTTAATACACATCAATCTCATTTTGTGCCATAATGTTGTCACAGACACCCATTTTGCCATGACCATGGCTTGAACATTATATTTAAAGACACTATGTTAAAAAACAAACCTGCTGATTCAGCGTCCTCAGTCTGTTGTTCAAGGCTTTAAATGTGTCAGCCGGTACTCCTCTCCTTGTCCAGCTCATAGGCATCAACAAGAAGACTGTGATCAGCAAAAAAACACTTCCTCCAACCTGTCTGGTCATGGTCACTTTACCTCCTTTGAACAGAGTCTGAAAAACTTAATCTGAGATGAAAATTCAATCCTAAAACAGTTTGTGCAAGCGTACACCCTCCTACCCCTGAACATCCTGCAAATGATTTCCCCTTTTTTTTTTTTGCAACAGAAAAACTAAAACAGGTCTAAATGGATTTCACAGACCCCAACAAATCTCCAAGCAAAAAAAAAAACACACATTTGCAAAAACATGGCTAAAGAGTCATCATAAATACTTGTGCAACCCACATTATGAATAGAAAGTGTATTAATATGAATCCAACTAGTAACACTGAAAGGAGACAGGATAAATATAATAAAGATATCATTATCCTACAGAAAGATAAAGATAATAGATACATTTTATAATGCAAAATAGATCAGACTTTAAATTTGTCACTTCTTAAGTGCATCGTCTTAAAGCATGATAAATATCATTGATAAATATAAATATCTCCTAATATACAACAATAAAACAGATTTGAAAGTATTAATATGATTGTAGATTTAACTTTTATATAATCTTGTCATATTATTGTAGATTTTTTTGTTATTTATTTTTTGGACAATATTGGAAATAAGATTGTTTATAGTCATCTGCTAAATTGAATTTTGGTCAAGAGCTCATAAAATGTAAATGATGAAAGCAATCATGTTTTAGCCAAACATACAGGTTCAGCTCCCCCTACAGTTAATAAGTGGTACAGTTGCCTAGTTATAGCAAAACTTATTCAATAATTCATGCTCTAGGAAATGCAGCCAGCCAAAGATCATGTTTCAGATTTTGATAATGCACTCTTTGTGAAATACCAAGACTGGGAAAATTACCTAACCAACTGGATCTTGCGTTGACAATAAATTTACAGTTGATCATAATTCACCAACAGGATATGCATGGGTCCTTTCATTTTCAGACGATCAAATAAATAACTGGCTTGTTTGAGTTGTTATACATGCAATACTGTGTGGAAGGCCTAGTAATCGTGCAACATGCAAACTCAGAATATTTGTGACCTGGACTACAAAACCAATCACAAGCAGGGGCGGATTTAACCACTAACCGAGGTACTGTCAGCAGCCGCTTACAGGGTCCCAGGAAGTCTAGAAGTATAAATATATCTATTAACTTTAACATTGTTCTCTATCATATTTTTTACGATGAGAGTAAAACAAATACAATTTTAACAAAATTAAATATTATTTAGTATATAATCAAATATAATATTATTGTGATGTAATATAATGTAATGTTATGTAATAATAATAATAATAATAATAATATCACTAAATAAAATATCCATTTTGGAGCAATCCAGCAGTTAAATTTATAAAAAAATATTCATTTTAAGAAAACAAATCACTTAAAATGTAGAGATTGCATTCATTTCAAATGTCGGAAAGGATGAGAGATAGGAAAAAACAGCAAGACAAATAAAAAAAAATTAAAAAGTAAAATGGGTGGATTTCAGGAGTTTGGCCCTATGGCTGGAATTGCTTAGCACCCCAAAATTACTAAATCCTCCCCTGATCACAAACATACTTTATTTGCGTTTTTATATTAAGATTTATACATTATTTAAAAGCTGAATAAATATGTTTTCCATCAAGGTGTTTTTTGTTAGGACTGGAAAATATTGTAGATGCAACTATTTTAAATATCTCAAATATTTGAGTTAAAAAAAAAAACTGTATTAAGAAAATTCGCCTGCAAATAAAGTGTTTAGCAATGCATTTTAATGATCAAAAATTGAGTTTTGCTATATTTATCTACAATATAAATTTAATACTTAATATTCTAAGAATTTTAGCATGAAAGAAAAATCGATCATTTCGACCCATACAATTTCCAAAAATATAGCCATGAAACTTAACATTTAGTGGTCCAGGGTCATAAATTTGCTTGAAACAAATGTATAGCCTAGTGTTGTCTATTTAAAGTGTGGTTTAGGTAAGATGTCCTCTCTTTTGTGAATGGTATTAGCCATTGGTTGTATTGTTGGTGGATGTTTGTGTTAAAGATAGAAAAAGAAAAGACAGAGATTTCAAAGAAACGACATTAGAACTGGGTCAGTGTTGATATGAGCACAATACATGCATCTGTTTGTAGTATGCTGATTGTTCTATGTACATTTTCTTGCAGGTTTAGAATCACAATTAAACAACTTCTTTACGATTCTGCTGCTCTGCGATGTCTAAATGATTTCTAGAACACATTACATTTATCATTATACACATAAAAGCACACTGTCCATTACTTGTTTTCTATGGTAAGCGGTGCATGTAAACGTAATGTGTTCTTAAACAGCAGTTTTTAAGCCATTTTCTGTATTTACACATTTTTTATGTGTGTTTGGGTAGATCGATATGTTTAATTCTGTAAACTAATTTCCTCCCAATTAAAAAAAAAACTGTAAAAGTATTCTATTTGCCACATTTTCAGATATTTACATTTACAATTTACATTTTAGACAATGTTTTAATGTTAGGAAAATTCAAAAGCAACATTATGTTATGCTGAATAATAGTACTAGGAGTGAATTCTGTTTTTTAGTAGACTTTTTATCTAATGTAACATACAAATGAGGAGCAAATCAAGTCTATAAAAAAGCTAAATATGTATGCTATGATAAGTCCCAATTGGTCAATATGATGAGCTAGTATTATAGAGGGTATTATTATTATTATTATTTGAATAGATTCGACTCAACTGCTCAGGTCATTTAAGGCACAATTATTCCAATCAAATGGAATATTATGAATTATTATTGATGACGAGTATTCTGAATTATTATTACTGAGTACTGACTATTATATTTGCTTTAATAAAATAAAATAAAAATAAAATAAAAAATAAAATAAGACAAGAGATAAATGTTTTTGGCCTTTGCCATTAGATTTTTTGTTTCCCTGTTTTAACCAAAACTTTGTCTGTCTGATCAATGACTTTATGCTATTTATTGACTTTGCATTGGAGAATAATTCAATAAACTGATTGGATCTAAGACTAGTGATGAGATGATCCCAACGTTTCCATAATCCTGGACCAGGCCGTATCCTGATCAGATGCTGTAGTGGTCATGGAGAAGTGGAGAGCATGAGACTAATTCCTGTGATGCTCCAGGGACAGACGAGTCTTCGATGAGGTCCAGCATTCTCCAGTCTCCGGCGCCTAGACTGCAGCTCCGCACAAGACACTTGGCCAGTGGAGAAATGGTCGTGCCCAACTGAGCCTGGTTTCTCTTGAGGTTTTTTAATTCTTCACTTTCGCCAATTGGTGAAGTTTTTTCCTCGCCGATGTCGCCACTCGCTTGCATGTTTCGAGATCTATAGGGCTGCGCATCGATGGATTTGGACTCTCAGTAGTGATTATTAACCACACTGAACTGAGCTAAACTGAACTGAACTTAAAGACTAAAAACTGAACTACACTGTTTCAATTTACCATAATTTTCTATGTGAATCTGCTTTGACACAATCTACATTGTAAATGCGCTATACAAATAAAGTTGAATTGAATTGATTTAAAAAGTTCTTCTTGTGTTTTGATCTTTGCTCAATTAAAAAGAAAACTACTTTAAGCCGTACTTTTTACTAGAGTATATCCAGATACTTGTTCTTTTGTGTAAAATGTTCACATACTTTCACTTGAGTATCTTTTAACACCCCTGGTTGCAAGTTTGGAAGTTGTAAAATCACTTGTAAACATTGTTTCTCTTCCTGTCATTCTGAGCTTTATGAGAACTGTACACACTAATCTCTTCTTCATGTTGGCTCTTTCTTCTAGCATAGTTTCTTCTAGTATTCAACCACACCCTGCAGGACCACATCGAGATGCCTGATGACGCTCTCAAAAGTTCCAGCACAAGTGCATTGAAATGTCACCTAGGGATCTGTTTCATAAAGGAAATTACCTTTAAAAGGCAAAATGAACCCTCTGCTGCCAACATTTTAGGTGATTTTCTGCCTTCCATCAACCTTGAACACAGTCTTGAAAATCCAGTTTGGTGGGCTTCTGCATGTTGTCTGCACTTGTGTTGCTGCAGAATCATAAGCAAGAAACGCTAATTATTTATTTTCTTTATAAATCTGCAGCACAGCAATAGAGGAACATTTTCAATTTATATTCAAGATAAGTGGCTTATTATTTTTACTAGAAGCTGTATAATAGTTGCTAAGCAACACATAAACTGGCAGTATTATTATAGAATGCATGTTCCAAGTAGTTTTTTCATCAGTCAGTTTGGAACAGCTCACCCAATCACACTTTATTGCGTGAGCATGACGCTGCATCAAGTACACTAGTATGTTCGGAAATTACATTCAATGACGTTAGGGCTTGAAGTGAAAAATTTTGCTAAAAGCATCTCAAATGATGCCAATAACCCTTTTGTGGCATGTTGAATGTTTTTTTTTTTTTTCTAAATGATGTTTGTTTATACACTGTATTTTATAAACTTTAATACTGTGATACATTATAAAGACACTGAAAATGATGTTTTTCTAAATATACTAGTCATTGTTTATAAAAGATATAAAGGTCTGATAACATTCCTTCATAAAAAAAATAATAAAATATATGGTAATTTTGAGCAATTGGTCAGAAAAGAAACATTGTAAAAAAGATTTCTTGATTACAAAAATTGTGACCATTTTTATTTACTTCTGGAGTTAAAACATTACAATTTTGTTGTGTGTGTGTGTGTGTGTGTTTATATATACATACATATATAGATAAGAAATGCAATCTGTAGCTTACAGAATACAACAAAGAAGATCTTTTACTCAAAACACAAAACTATATTGTCATTTATATAGCAAAAAGGTGTAATGTTTTTCAAGCACATTTATAGTCATAGTTTTTGTTTTGTCTTTTAGGCTATTTAAGGGTTTTTATTTACAAATCTTAATCATTTCAGTCACACGATCACTAAAAAATGGACTGTTTTATCCCTACATTGGGTCAAATTAATAAACCAAACTGTTCGGTTAAAAATTGTCATCTTTAGTTGCTGCAATAGCCTCGTGGTTAGCGTGCTGACATATGGTGCAGAAGCACTTCAAGGTGTCTTGAGTTCGAATCCCAGTTCGAGGACATTTCCTGTCCCTACTCCCTCTCTTTCTTTTCCACTTCGTTGCCTGTCTAAAATACTGTCCTATTCTCCCAATAAAGGCCAAAAATAAATCTTTAAAGTGTCATTTAAATTTAACTTAAAAACAATGTTGGGTTTATTCATATTTGACCCAAAATTGGGCTACTACAAACCAGCATGTTTTAGAGTGATTATTCTGAAATTATTTATTTATTCTCCTTCAGCGTAGTCCCTTTTTTATCAGGGGTCACCACAGCGGTATGAACTGCCAACTTATCCAGCATACGTTTTACACAGCGGATGCCCTTCCAGCCACAATCCAGTACTTGGAAACACCCATAGACTCATTCACACACACTTACTCTTACACAATGGCCAATTCAGTTTATTCACTTCACCTATAGCACATGTCTTTGGACTGTGGTGGAACACCGGAGCACATGTGGGAAACCCACGCCAATACGAGGGGTACATGCAAACTCCACCCAGAAATGCCAACTCACCCAGCTAGAACTCGAACCAGCAACCTTTTAGCTGTGAGGCAACCACTGAGCCACCATGTCGCCCCATTTATATTTATGAGAACTCAATTACTTTGTAAATATACATTTTTTTCTTCTGTTTTTGTTTAGGTAATTTATTCCTGTAATGAGATGATAAATCCAGTCACACTCCACAACTAAAACAGTTGGGTTTCCTTAGCCCAACGTTGAGTCAAATGAACAAATCCAACAGTTGGGTTAAAAAGTGTCATTTAAACTTAACTGAAAAAAATGCACAATGTTGGGTTTATTCAAATTTGTTTGTTTTTGATCGAGCACTTGCCTTCAAGATTTTCTAGATGTACGCACATTTCTGTTTTTTGCTTTATTCATATTTCACCCAATATTGTCCTACAACAACCCAGCATTTTTCTGAAGAGTGCATATTCTGAAATCTTTCTAATAACATATTATTATTATTATTATTGCTGAAGACATTTGCACAGCTGAATATATATATATCATCATAATTCTGTAGATATATTTACTATTGATAATATATTGACTGATTAATTCGATGCATCCTTGCAATATCAACAGCAATGTATGTGCTGCACATAAATGAACACAAGTGCATCATGCATAATGCTTTTCAGTAGCTCAAATATTGCACTAAGAAAGTAAAAAGTGCACCTTCAATGCAATTTACTGTAAGTTGCTGTGGATAAATGCATCTGCAAAATGTGCAAACGTAAATCTAAACACTCGCAAATACAACCAATTCAGCATCACACTCTTCCAGAGGACTCCCTAAATTAATAAGCAAACCCAGACCAAACCAAATAAAAATGACATTCTGTACTCTAATCGTTATTTCTGTAAACCACTGACGAAAACTTTACAACCTCTAGAAAGGAATGTGACGGTAAGGGAATGCAGACGGACGAGCTGAGCCACAGTAAAAGGAGTGTCGCACAAAGACCAAGCCACTCTCATGATATCAGCAACACCGAGTCCTCCACTCCCTGCCACGCCTGCACAGATCATCCAGTCCCTCACCCATTCATCTCAAACCCTTCTTCACCCTTAGCCCTCGCGCAGAACATTATCACCATAGTAAATCTATCCATGAAGGTTTTAGGACTACTGTGATGATGGCGTGTAACATGCTGCAAAGATCTGACCTCAGATTAGACAGGGAGCTTTTAAAGTCTAAAACAGAAAACATTTTTGCAATTTAATACTTGTAGTCTGACACCTCAAAGCCATTTTTGACACCTTTTTTAAACATACTTCACATTGAAGTTTATAGTGATATGTTGAGACTTTCACTGATACTATAGACACTCATTTTAATGAAATTGTTCTCCCAAACATGAAACACAAGAGACGATATATTTTTTAAAAAGTTGAAAACTGGTATCCATTGACTTCCACAGTATTCTACTATGGAAGACGATGGTTACAGGTGTTCAGCTTTCTTCAAAATATCTTCTTTTGTGTTAAACCAAATAAAGAAAGTTTGAAAACCCTTGGGGATGAGGACATTTTGATTAAAATAATCTGTTTTTTTAAGCTATAGAAGAATAAACCTTAATGAAACTGATTATATGTCCTCGGTTGAAACGGCTTACAAATTATTAACATTAATGGAATGAGAATAGTGAACTCATTACTCACTACTGTAGCATTTATTAAGCTATTTAAATGTTTATGTTATACTGCTGGTTATTGTTCATTTAAGCTGTACAAGAAAATTTGTTGAGCATCCACTGCTTAAATGTATTCCTTTCTGTTTTAAAGGCTAATAAAAATTGATTTGCAGATTAAGACTCAATACTGTTTTTAAAAATGCCATGTTTGATGTGTGAGCAGATTTCTGGGAATATTCTTCTGTGAATCCATTATATCAAAGTACTGTAAACACTAAAACTGTGCCATGAGCAGTACGTTTATAATCAAGACAATGAATTGAAATAATACAGTAAGAAATACAGTTTGTAATATTAAGCTGCAAAATAAGCAGATGTTTCCAAGCAGATTCACTGTAAGCAGCAATAAGTTGAGTTACTTAAAGTAAGCAAACCCATTTCCCCAAAGACTTGAAATGAGTTCACCCATTGGAACTTGAAACTATGCTAAGAAATACAGTTAGCATTTTTTGGAGCATATTCACAGTAAAAAGCAATTTGTTAATTTACTGAATAATGTAAGTAAACTCAAGAGTTCACTCTTAGATATTGCTTGATAATATTAGCAGGTTTGGCATGCTGTCCCAGGAGAGAACCCTGAGCTCAGGGCTCCCGCCTGGTCAATGAGAAAGTCAGGGGATACGAGATCAGGTAGTTCTCGAGAACTCACCCTGGTGAAGGAGGGGTGGGGGGGGGGAATTCTACAGGGGCTATTTACAGCGAGTTTGTATTAATCCAGTTGGTTTATTAATGAATACGGATGTGATACTTCACTTTGTTGCCATAAAAGCTAATAATCGTATTGTAACTGACTTAATTTTAAATGCTTTAAAATATTGTAAAACATCTAGTAAACTGTAACCAAAGTAAACTACTGTATGTGTGTTTGCCGTTTCAAAGACTTCAGTTTTAATTTTATACATTGCAATTAATCATTAACTAATCTTAAAATTTTGTGTTTAAATGTAGCAGCTTGAGTGCATTTTAATTTTTGAACTTTTGTGGGGTCACGTTGACGCTAATGTTACAATACCAATGTTATTAATGTAAATATATTTCTTACAAAAATCACATGAGAAACAGCAAGATTTAAGTCAATTTAAGTTAAAAGTAAAGTTGTGGAGAAAAGGCATTCAAGTAATCGATTCTTTGATTTTCAAAATACATCGCCTTTTTCCTGTTAAATCAATACTGAGTTCAGTTTTTACCAACAGATAAAAATAACACAACTAAATAAAATTGGATTGAAAAAATAAATGTTCAAAAAGAGTAAATATATTTAGCAACAACACAACACTCGAAGTAAAAGCATCACTGCTTCAGTAAAGAAAACGAATTTCGAGAGGAGTGATTGATCGCGGCTGGTCTCTCATCGGTAATCATTAAGCCAATCGGATCATTCCAAACTATCTATTAATACTCAGACTAGTATTAGTAAAAATTCCCTTCATCCACCCCTTTCCTACTTTACCAGGGAGAGCTCTCGAGGGCTACCTGATCTTATGCTCATTGACCAGGCAGGAGCCTTGGATTTCATTATCTCCAAGCTCAGGGTTCTCTACTGGTACAGCATGCCAAACCTGCTAATATTATCGAGCAATATCTTAAGAACTCTTGAAAATAGGATATAGCAAAAGAGAATGTTCTGGAGGGGCAATGCAGTAGGTAGTGTTGTCACCTTACAGCAAGAAGGTGGCTGGTTCAAGCCTCGGGTGGGTCAGTTGGCGTTTCTGTGTGGAGTTTGTGCGTTCTCCCTGTGTTTGCGTGGGTTTACTCCGGGTGCTCCGGTTTCCCCCACAGTCCAAAGACATGCGGTACAGGTGAATTGGGTGGGCTAAATTGTCCATAGTGTATGAGTGTGAATGAGTGTGTATGAATGTTTCCCAGAGATGGGTTGTGGCTGAAAGGGCATCCGCTGCGTGAAACGTGTGCTAGATGAGTTGGCAGTTCATTTCGCTATGGCAACCCCGGATTGATAAAGGGACAAAGTCGAAAAGAAAATGAATGAATAATTTTCTGGCCAGCTTTACATTATAGTATACAAAACATGAAAACAAAAACAAAAAAGACACATGCTTGCACTACACACTTGGCTGATTTCTGAGTGATTTTCAATTCAGAAGTACACGGTACAAAACGTGGGTTTCACACAATCCCTTTGTGGTGGGACATGAATGCATTAAGTCAATTTATTAGTTTTTACAAATTTATATGAATTAAACATAAAACAATTAAGTTGTGCCTCAAGTACTGTGTTTCAGCTCTTTTTAAATAAGCAATTTAAGCAAACAGCAAAGATCATTTTTGGAGTGTAGTGTGTTTACATTCATGCGCCGCCATTGACTATGTTCGCCAAAACTGGTTATTCAGAGGCGTTTTCAGTGACAGATGTAGAAATACAAACCATTTCCTGTTTATGTCACAAGAACATTCATAAAAGATTACAGAATATGGTAATGTATTCCAAACAGGTAGGGGTGGAGCAGCTGAGTGACTATGAAAAGCTTGTTAAACGCTATAGAAACTGGTTTCAGACTAGCCATCAGCAACAGTCTCAACGGGACAGGTAAGAAAGCTCTATGACAAGGAACTTTACCTGATTTAGAAATGATTTTGGATTTAAGACCTTTTATAGGATTAGGTTTAAATTGTAAAAAAGGATCTAGCAAACCAATTAAATAGTTTGATATGGCTGCATATATAATTTTTAGGATTTTATTCAGATTTTTTTTTTGGTTAATTTAGTTACAACTCATAATGGTAAAAGCTGTTGGTTAGTCTTATAAAAAGAGTACTAGTAGTATACTTTTAAACTGAATGCAAGTTGACTTAAGACTACATTTTATGTTCTTTTTTTTTTAGAAATATTCTTAAAATAATACTTGACTTAACCACTTAAAATTGGGTGATGTTCATTTAACATGTTTAAATTAAACTTTAATAAACTAAAATGTGAAACCTTTTTAGTCTCAAGTCATTTTCATATAGTACACATACACCAGTATGTTAAATTCGGATATTTACAACATTTACGGTGCTATATTAATTATACCCAAAAAATATACTTGAATCTTATTCCTAATAAAACTCACAATATAAATTAACTTTGAATATACTTGTCGTTTGTATGGTTATGTATATTTATTAGGTTTTTAAGGCTGATTTGCTTTAAGATCTGCAAAAAAACTTCAGTTTTACTTTATATACTTCCATATGAAGTATGCTTTTCATATGCTTTTCAGACAAATTAAGACTTTATTAGAATTCTTACTCTTTATACAATCAAATATCTGAAGAAAAATAAAAGATTGCGTGTCTTTTGTATTAGCTGAATGCTAAGCTCTGTAATGGCTAAATAGCAGAAATGTGCCATTTTATAAATTGGACAGCATAGCAAAAGCCTTGATCAAAGCTGACCTGTGTGATGAATAGTGCTTTGTGTTCTTTTACTGTAATAATTGACGCATTTCAGCTGCTTGAGGTTTCACCTCCTACTGATACACACACCCTAAACATATCTTACAATAAATCAGCTGGGATATTTTATGTTTTGGTATAGATGGGTGTGTTCATGTAGTATCTTTGTTTACAGAAACTACAGAAACCCGTGTATGCTAAAGTCCCATTCGAAAAATCTCGAAATCTTTGGGATAAACTATAGTACTTGTCTAATATACATGTGCGCTCGTGTGATTCTTGATCTGTCTGTAAAACAATATATTGTTTGAAAAGTCATGGCTGTTGTCTTCCATGTGAAGTATTAGTACTGTAGTCAGACATGCGGCCGAGCAACATTCCTCTTCTGTCTTTGGGTGGACGCTCGTATCAATCAATGCCTGGGCTTGTGACACTGTTGTCTTTTTGTTAACATAGGCGTTTACCAAACCATACCATCATGAAAATAAATGCCACGACTTGTAATTATTTTGCATTTTGATCAAACAAGTCTGGGCAACAGGATTGCATTGTTGAAAACAAAAAAAGTGGCATGACTTGACAGATAGATTGATGATTATCTAGGAGGAAAAAAAGAGATTTCATGTAGAAGTAAACAGTCTCCTTTATCAAGGCATCAAGGCAAGGTGATCTGCTGAATTCTGCATTTAACTCTGCATTTTACTTTGTTTTACTGACAAAAACAGCAGACAGCTCAAGTGAATTATAAGGCATGGGTTCAAGCCCTTTTTCTGGAGATCTACCTCCTGCAGAGTTCAGTTTCAACCATGATCAAACACACCTGTGTGTAATTATCATGAGCTCCTTCAGATCTTTATTGTTTGGTTCAATTGCGTTTGATCAGGATTGGAGTTGAACTCTGCGGTAGGGCAGATATCCAGCCACAGGGTTGAGGACTTCTGTTCTCTTAGGCAAATTTGTAAACAACAAGCCATCATAAAAAATTAACATGCATTCTAACTTATAGAATGTTTTAACAGTACCTTATGATTTGCTTTTGAAATTTACCCTTTCAGTCACCAGAATGCATTAGGTTTTACCCACCTCTTTAGCATATAAAATTTGACTATTGTCTAATTCACATACTTTATTTTGATTCAGCAGTTTAAAGCCAAGCCAAAGACAGTATGAGTGCTGACGGAACTGGGACTCCCCCTCCGTATACTATACCAGGTAACTAAATGAGTCATAACTGTTTATATTCAACGACTCACAATTATGAATTAAGGCTAAAAACAATTCCGTGTGTATGTATGCAAATGTGAAATCCTGAAATACATGTGAAAGCAGTTGGTAATGTCTTACCTCGATCTTCTTTTTGTTCAACAGTAGAGGATGGAAAGGGCTCCAATGTGAAGGTTTACCATGTGCACACTCCGTTCACCCCACAGAGCTCCACTTATGGAGCTTCTCATGCCCAGGTGGCGTCATCCAGACCTGGTGAGTCTGGTTCCTGTCAAACATCTGTGCAAAACTGAAATGGCATAGAGAAAATTTTGTATGTGTTGTTTGTGTTTGAAAATCAGGACTGCACGATTTATAAAAGCCTGTTTCTGCTATGGAATGAAATTAAATCTATATATTTACACCTAAGATATATGCGTACATAAAATGTACAATTGCAAATACAAAACTGCACATTCAAAACACAATATTGAGTGTTTATGTATGTGTATATTCTGTATGTAATTATTTAAAATATTTTTTATGATATAATAATGGTTTTTAATGACAATTTATAATAATCTGCCCCTATATATAATAAATAAATAATTTATGTATCTATATGGCAACACATCCTTTAGAAAGAAACATTTAAAAGAAAAAAATCTGAATTAATAAATATATTAGTAAAATTTTTTTTATTCTGATGCAGAAATGTAAACTTTTGACAAGGGAATAAAAAAGCATAATAATAATTATTATTATTAAAAAATTAATTAATATTTTAATATATACAGTATAAGTCAGAATTATTAGCCCCCCTGAATTATTAGCCCCCTGTTTAGTTTTGTCCTCGATTTCTGTTTAACGGAGAGAAGATTTTTTTTCTACACATTTTAAACAAGTTTTAATAACTCATTTCTAATAACTGATTAATTTTATCTTTGCCATAATGCCACTAGACATTTCTATACAGCTTAAAGTGACATTTAAAGGCTTAACTAGGTTAATTAGGTTAACTAGGCAGGTTAGGGTAATTAGGCAAGTTATTGTATAATAATGGTTTGTTCTGTAAACTATCGAAAAAAAATATATAGCTTAATGGGGCTAATAATTTTGACCTTAATGTTTTTTTTTTTATTAACAACAGTTTATATTCTAGCTGAAATAAAACAAATAAGACTGTCTAGAATAAAAATACTGTGAAAATGTCCTTGCTCTGTTAAACATTATTAGGAAAATATTATAAAAAGAAAAAAAATCAAAGGGTACTAATAATTCTGAGTTCAACTGTATATAAATATTTAAAAAGCAGGCTACTATGTGTTGTTGCTTAATAGCAAATGCAATCTAGATAAATTTAAAAAAAAAGAGTTTTACTAAACACAAACTAAAACACTTTCACAAACTAAAACTTTCTTTCTTCTTCTAGTTCAGTCTCAGTCAACTGAAGCCAGAAACAAGTATGTCAGCTACGAGTCATATGAACTGGGTCGCAAACCAGCAATGGCCACCTGCACGTCCTGTCAACAGCAGGTCTTAACCAATGTCACCTACAAAGTGGGAGTTTATGCCTGGTTGATGTGCATACTCATATTCTTTTGTGGGTAAGAACCTATCATTGTTTTAAGTTTTAATTTCAGTATGATTAGTAAATATTACCCAGAAGTTTAGATGATTTTTGTACAAGATAACTTAAGTAATATTAGTGGATAAATTAGTGAATCTTTTAGTGGATGAATTATATAAGAGAACAACTGTAGCTTTGTTTGCCAAACAAGTTTTCCTAATTAGATGTGCATTGTAAACCTTTAAGAAAACAAAATTAAAATTTCAGATTTTAAATTTTATCTGAGTTGTCAGCAAAACTTAAGAAGCAGCAAAAAAAAGAAACTATGCAGATTCTGTTAGGCCATACTAATAATACCATTTGAATCTTGTGTGCATCGTCAATGCCAGATTCTGAACCTCTTCCTTATTTTCAGGTTTGTTTTGGGCTGCTGTCTGATCCCGTTTTTTATGAAGTTTTTCAAAGACGCCTATCACTCGTGCCCAAGATGCAATAAGATCTTGCATGTCGAAAAAAAGCGATGCTGCCACTGATCTATAACAAACATCAGTGGATGCTGCTCAGTTTAAACACTTCTCACATTTGTGTGGCACCTTACTCAACTATATGAAGGACTGGACTTTCAGACCAACACAGATGTCATCTAGTACAATCATACTTGTATAAACTAATGCTCTGCAACTATGAAGCTTTTGGTGTTCATCTGGTTTTATGCCTATAACGGACTCAGGGTTAGGGGTTCAGAGGGTCAAGATTTTTATGAAACCAAAAATGTGCACACATCATGCATAACATGATGTTATGTAAATATAATTAATTTGTTTAATAATTGCACCATTTAATACAGTTGTTTTTATCCAAGTCCTAAAATCATATAAACAAATCAAGCATTAAGTTAGCCGGTCATACTTTACAATTGTGTATTATAGTTTGTGTTTACTAACATGAACAAACAATAAATAATACACTTGTATCAGTATTTTTCTCATATTTGTAATGTTAGAAAATAGTAATTCGTTGTTAGTTTGTGTTAACCCTTTAAGATGCACTGCTTGAAAATAAAGTTTTTGGCTCACATCTTGTATTGAATAATATACTGACACAACTCTCATTTATAGCAATAAGCAATTAAAATAATATTGATTACCTATGGATAAAAGGTCACCGAAGTGATTATGATGCATGTTAAAGGGTTCACTTAAAATCTAACTTATGTGAATTAAGATTTTAATGATGCATTGGTAAATGCTGTACTATGATTAATTAATAAATTATGTACTAGTCTTGTTCATGTTAGTAAATACATTACCGTTAACTAACGAAACCTAGATTTTTTTTTTTTTTGATTTAGTTCCTTTTTCTCACTGTTTTAAGAAATAGAATTTCCATTTTCTTAAAAACCCCTCGGAATATGAGGTGGCTTTGTTTAAAAGTGTTATATAGATCTGGAAGAGTCATGAATATTACATGAACTCCATGGGCAATTTAAGAATGCATGTTTTATAATCTAAATTAAATGTAAAAGTCATTGTCCATTACATATTACAAACAAGTCACTGAAAAGCAATAGGGGCCTTTGAAATGGTTGAGAAATCAAAAAGATTAACTTCAATGTTTACATTTTAAATGACCATACTGACAAAGCTCATATGTTTCTTTTAAGCACATTTTTACCTCTGTAAAAAAAGTCTCTGTAGAACTCTACAATAATGTCTAAAATACCATGTGTGAATCTAAATGGAGCCGTTGTTACAATAAAACTGAAATATGTCTGTGCAATACCTTAAAACTGGAGTATATGTAGTTTCTGCACAAAACAATCCTACAAAATACAGCATGTTTTCCAGGAATAATAAAAAAAAACACTTGCGTTTACGCTTCCAAACGCCAACATATCAAAAATATATGCTTCAGTTCAATACAAATGAAGACCATACTATATGACTTGGTGCTTTCAAACCTTTCGAGAAGAAAACCTGTGAGTTTGTGGTATCGATAGTGGCCCACACATTTACACCGCCGGTGTTTAACGCCAGATTGTTTTACCTTTGTATTCTGGAGCTCGCACGTCTGCAACAGGTAATCCACGTTTCTTTCTCCTCAACAACTAAACATCCTCTGGGTTATCTTGTGACAGCAGTCCCGCCTCCGACTCTCGCTATTGGCTAGTTTGACTGGCAGGTAGGAATAAATGCAACGATTGGAACATTTTATCATCCCGAGATTTCAGCATACGTTAACACCTTTCTGTACCGAGCTAAATCCAAAATATTTAGAACGTAGCACAATATCGACATTTAAATTTATAAGAAGCACACAGCAAATTGTATTACAAATTTGGAAGTTTGACTGTCACCTGCGTACTGATCGCCAATACTTGAAAAATAGCCAGAACTCTGCGCATAATGTTTTTATTATAACGTTTTACAAAAACAAGTGTCTTGTTTTCACAGGATCAATGTCTAAAGATTCCTAAATCAAGATACGTTTAACCTGGGAGGGCGAATCACATCGTATTTGTGATTAAAATGAATACAAATATCAATTTATGTAGAACAATCTACATAATTCAATCATTTGAGAGGCCTTTTTGTTTTAAAAATTGAAAACAATTAAATTTTCCCATTTTACATTTAACTCATTTATAATCACTGGTTTATCTTTGCCATGAGGACAGTAAATAATATTTTACAAGATGTTTTCCAAGACACTAATATTATATAGCTTAAAGTGATATTTAAAGGCTTAACTAGGTTAATTAGGTTAACTGAGCATGTTAGGGTAATTAGGCAAGTTATTGTATAACGATGTTATACAATAGGTTCTGTAGATTATAAAAAAAAAAAAAGCTTAATGGGGCTAATAATTTTGACCTTAAAATGTTTTTTTTTTTAATTAAAAACTGCTTTTATGCCAGCTGAATTAAAACAAAAAAGACTTTCTACAGAAGAAAAATATTATCAGACACACTGTGAAAATGTCCTTGCGGTTTAACACCATTTGGCAAACATTTAAAAAAGAAAGAAATTAAAGGGGGGCTAATAATTCTATCTTCAACTCTGTGTGTGTGTGTGTGTGTGTGTGTATTACAGACCTGCAGAAAATACTCTTATTAGAGTATTAATTTAACTCCTGACAAATCAGTCTGTGAAGAGACTATCACGGGAATATATATATATATATATATATATATATATACACACACACACACACATAAAAGTTTTGGGAAAGAAAATAAAGGTACCTACCTATGAAGAGACAGCATTGTTTCTCTACATACAGAAATCATTCATTTTATAGCACCAACAACCTGAACACACGCTCAAGTCAACTCTCCATGGACCACGGCTGTAGCTTTTATAGAAAATTTTATTCAACATACATTTTCCAGCAAAAAGGCAATATACAGGAAGAGTTGTCGTACACTGCTGCTACACGGAGGAATTAGAATGGAGAGAAAAAAAAATAAACCAAAAAAGATGTGATCTGCAGGTCATCTTTGTACTGCACTTAAACGAGACAAACTGTTGCAATTAGTTAAGGAAAAAAAAAAAAAAAGACCAAATGAAAACTGCCAGAATCCAAAATAAAACTACACACAATGAATATGAACATCTGAATTGATCTGTACCCAACAAATCGGTGTTTTTAATTGTACATGTTCATTCTTTAAATATACAATTTTAATTGTTTTTACAAAGCCAACTATGCACTAGGGAGCATTCCTTCCGTGCTGAAAAAAACAAAATGAATGAAAAAAAAGTATTGGTTCATTAATGCTGGTTTCTCTACGTCCCGAACCAGTCTACTACACGACTGCAGCCTCGTGCCAACAAACAAAACAGCGAATCTGGAGCCGTGAGCAAATATACTCTCTTCCCACCCATCTGAATAATCCCACAACCGGTGACTAACGAAAGGGGAAAAGAAACACTTCATGGAGGGAAAGAACAAAAAGGAGAAACCAAAGGAATATGCAAATCAAACTCCAACCAAAGATTACATTTAACAGTGCTGAGAAATGTAAAACCTTGGATATTAAGTGCCAACGTGCAAGATGAAGTACAGACAATTCATTTTATTTTTATTTATTTTTAAAACGGATGCGGTGGCTCTTTACTTTATTATACAGGATCTCCAGAGAAGACAAACTGAATTTCTCCAACCAAACTAAGTGAAAAAGAAGAATTGTGTAAACATGAAAATTGTCTAGTTGCACTAAGGGACCAGAAAAATGAGACAACAATGTCATCAGGGCAACTAGCAAAAAAAAAAAAAAAGCCTTAGCCATTTTGTGGTGATTACTTTGTTTGTTTTTTCTTCTTGAAGTATGAATGTTTCCTTTTTAAATCTTCTGCAAAAGACAAAAACTCCTCTTTCCATCGCCTCCACCTCACAATGCAGCAGCTTTCTTGCCGTAACAAATCTTTTAAAAACCAACTTAAAAGGAAAAAAAAGAAAAGAAAAAAAAATCAAAACCAAAAAAAGTCTAGGACATACTGTTCCCCCTTTTCTTGTTAAAATCCAATTCATTCTTCCAGACAAATAGGCAGTCAATAGTTAGAGAAGCCAAATCGAACAGCCTCAAAAGGAAAACAGGAGCATCAGCAGTCACTCCATTCGCTGAAGACTTCATACATGGTACCTGTGTACCCAGACAGCAGGTGTTAAAAGTGGTGCACACAAGAGGTTTGGTTAAAGTCTTTAGTATGGTCGGTTAGAGTGAGGGGCTTGTCAGTTGTGAATCTTGATCGCTTTTTCCAGATACGTGTAGCGACCTCTCTTTGGAGCTTTGTTGAAGTGGTCGAGCCCTAACCAAGGCCTCGGGTGCGACATGTTCCCTGAAGAAGAAGAGCACAGGAGGGTAAGGTTATAACACAAACGTAAATAGCCATTCAACAAAAGAGAGAAAGAGTGTGTAACATACCTGGCTGTGGCTCAAAGTCTTTCAGATTCACCTCGTAATCTTCCTCATTGATATACTGATGCCGGCCCATCATCACTATTGCAAACTTGAACTGATGGAAAATAAAAACAAATGGCTTAAACATTTGGTTGTCAGTTGTCAATTGCATTTATTTGATAATCTATGTGGAAGTGGGTGCATTTTTGTCAATCCAGGGCTTCTACAGGTTTCTACAATTCAAATATAAGAGCTTTTTAAGACCATTATGAATTTAATTCAATCACAAGTGGAAGAGGCAAAATAGGAGTTTATAGAGGGCCTGAAATGTTCAAGCTTGTCCATTGTCGACCACATCCAGAGGTAGAAGAAAACCACTGATCCATTTGCTTTCATAGTGTATATGGTCATGTGAACGAATAAGTGCCTAACAGCCACAAAAGACCATATATCCCCTTTTCCACCAAGACAGCTCGAAAGATGGTTTAGAGCCAAGTTAAAAATTGGTTCTTTGTCTTTTGACACCCATAGCACCGACTGTGAACTAGGAAAAGTGGTTCTTAAAATCAGCATGAAAATAATAAAGAGATTGCACATCAAATTGAAATGAAATGAAGGAAAGAAAAAATAAGTTGGACAGTTCATGACTTTATCCTTTGAGAACCGATTGGACCATTGATAGATGAGTTTTGGAGGAAGATAAAAATGGCAGTTTGCACTCAGTTAAGGAGGATTACTGTACACCAGACTGACCAAATCTGTTTTCAGATACCTGATGATAAAAAGCTACATTTTACAGATGAAATCGCATCATATTTATTTGAATTACTGGCACCGCAGAAACAAGATAAACTGAAAGCACATTATAACACCCCATTCATACATGGCAGCAGCGTTAACACTACTCATTGACTTTAAATGCAGTGACGTCAAACATTGGGGAATTGAATTGTGGGTCCATTAAGTTGTGTTGCCTCTGTTCTTTGTAAAAGTGTCAAATAGGGCTGCACAATTAATAGAAAAAAAAGATGATCTCGATTTCACCCCCCACATGATCCTAATAAAGTTTCTCTATAACTTGGCCAATTTTATTTTCAAGATCATGAAAAAAGCATAAAGACGGTGGCACAAGTCTTAACATTGTTTTAAATATGTTGCTCAGCAACATGGACACCTCCAAATGGTCAGCATGCTGTATTTATTAGGTAAAATTCACTCAAGTGTCATTTGCCACGAAATTACACGTGAGGTGATGTACTGTTTGTTAAAGAGCGGACACACTACTTTAGTGAACAAAACCTGCAAAAGCTGGGAATAAAAGGTAATCAATTTCTAAATAATGTCCTAATATTATTTATTTTTTCCCATATGTTTGAGAAATAGCAATAATATTAGCCTACTCATAATAACTTTTAAATTTTTGCCAGAATCGTGCAGCCCTAGTGTCAATGCAGCATCCTCCAATCAAATCGCTTTATGCAAACATGTTTGTGAAAAAATTTCAAACCACGAGTAACTACAAAAAAAAAGTACAATATTTAATAGAAGTTCCTTTTAGAAGATAAAACTGTGGCTGTTTCATTGGCAATATAAAAACAACACTATTAAAACAAAACAAAAAAACAACATTTTAATTTCTCTAATAAAATACATGGATTTTGTTCTGTTGACAGTTTTGTTATTATATCCCCCAAGTGATGCTAGTAAATGATTAAGTATTTTTCCCCATTGTATTTAAGACATTGCTGGTTGAGCAATAGGTAGGCTCACGCAGAAGATTTCTGCAGATTTTAGCCTATTGTTAAGTCTATTTATTTACTTGTGTGAATGTGTGTAAATTTAAATTATTTCAGTTTTAAATTAATTTCAGTAATGTTAACTAATATGAAAATGCTCATTTGATTTATTTACAATACAGTTCGTAATATGTCTTTTAGTAGATATATTATGAGAGACATGCTTTGTTTAACAAATAAGTGGAGCTAGATGAATTTACATTGTAAACATTAAATAAAAGTTAAAAAGGCTATTTTTTTTATTTCATACATTAAGTTTTTAGTTATGATACTCCCAAAATCATTCTGCATAAATCCACAAATTTTATACAAAATTCTCTGGCGAAATGGCAAAATGTCTGTAGATTTTGTCTGGCCCTAGCATTATGCCAATTGCATTCAATGTTGTTGAACCAAAAAAAAAATTCGCCCAAAAATGAAAATTCATAGCATTTTTACTCAAGTGAATCTAAACTTTTATTAACTTCTTTCTTCTGTTGACCACAAAACAAGATATTCTGAAGAACGCTGGAAACCATCAGTCAATCTCATCCATAGTAGAAACAAAACAAAACAAAAAAAATTACTATGGAATTCAATGGCTACAGCATTCCAACATTCTTCGAAATAGCTTCTATTGTGTTCACCAAAAGCAAGAAACTCAAACAGGTTCAGAACAAGTGGAGAGAAAGCAAACAATGACAGAATATTCATGTTTTTCTTAAACCATTCATTTGAAGATTTAGCATGTTTTAAAATTCAAGAGTTACAGGTTTGCCTTACCTTCTCAAATTCTTTCTCCTGAATGTCAAGCATGCTCTGAATTCTCTTCATCACTTCTCTGAAGGGTTCCCCCTGCCAAAATAAATGCGGATATTCAAAAAAAAGTACACTGCAAACACATCCCGAACGCACAATGGCCATGTCCTCCTACACAAACCAATGGCACCTGTCCACCTACACATGCACTCAAACACACACACACACACCTGACGAATCTTAAGCAAAAAAGGAATTCCGAATGT